GCTTTAATCTTGAAGAAATGTAATGAGTTTCTTGTTGCTTTTTGTTTTGTTTTTATGTGAATAAATTTACTCTTTTGCTGAAGTAAACAATACATTGTATTGCTGAAAGTAAGAGCAAAATGTCACATAAAACTGGTGCTACAGACATAATATTAGTAGAACATGAGTTTTAAGTGTTTCCAGAAATGGTGGCACTATTCTGAACCCTTCAGTATCACCCTCCCTTCAGTTCTTTGTCATGTTCAGAAGCACACATTTCTGCAGTGATCAGTCAGCATTAGAAACGTGCTTATAAGTGGTTAACACTCTTCTCTTGAATAAAGCCAGTGACCCTCATGAGTGTCTTGGGACCAGGATCATATCTTGACTTTTTACGATCCAAATCAAGTTGGGACATACATCTTAAATCTTAAAAGTTAGAAGGGAACTTGAGGTCATCTTGTCTAGCTTCCTAGACAAACAGTATTGTGTCACCCCTGTTTTATGGATTAAGACCTGAAACAAAGTTAAATGACCTGACCAGGGATACACCAGCAGTTGAGGGGAGTGAGAACCCAGAAGTCTTGTTTCTTAAGCATAGACTGTTCATTACATACTCCTTCATAGAATCATTTAAAGTGTACATTTACCCTAAAAATAAAACATCTAAAGTATGATTCTCTTTTTCTTTTCTCTCCTTTCCCTCATTCTTTAGTCTTTTTGTTTTTAAACTGTTACAGGACTGGATATGGTGCATCCGTATAGTTTACTGATTTTAAGTAGACTTTTATATGTAGATTCTATCAGGCTTTTGTTTTCACTTTTCAATGAGAGCCTAGTTATAGTTAATCTACTTTATGGGGAAAAAGTGGGGCAAGTAACTCATGGAGAGGCCTTCTTTTCTTCTCTATTAACTTTCATATTTCTGTTTTCTTACCCTTCTCAAGATGCTGCCTTTATCATACCAGAATCAGGGTGGATGGGGAATAAGTTCATGGAATAGGAGGACTATAGCTTTACTTCTCCCCCTCCCCATTTCTGCCTCTCTAACTGATCTATCCAGAAATATCTAAATTATTCCCTTAAATAATCTAACTACTTTTACTTTGTTTTCAGAGTAAGTATTGAGCCAGTCAGACCATTTGAAAGAGTAGTTGTGCTTTTGGCATGACTGCTTTTTGAAAGGTGATGCTAGAATTTCCTGTGTGAAGTGGTGAGAAAGAGTAACTGAACAAAGGGCAAGATTGGTATGTAGGCAACCTTGGGCTTTTTAAAAATTTAGATAGCGTCTTTGAAACAGAATCAATTTCTAGGATAACACAAATACCAAAGTATAAAACTGTATTCCAGAGCCAAGTGTAATTATCTGAATTATCTATTCTATTGATAACTCCCTTTTAATAAGGGTATTATTAATGTCAGCTCTATTCTCTAAGGTTTTTCTGTCTAAAGGAGACATCTAAATCTGGCCGATTTGGCTCAGCGGTTGGAGCGTCGGCCTGCAGACCAGAGAGTCCCGGGTTCGGTTCCCGCTAGGGGCTCATACTAATAAATGAATGAAGGGAGGGAGGGAGGGAGGGAGACACCTATGAGTTAGATTATCCATAGTGGTCTGTTAGTTCATTTTGGAAATATCCTATAAAAAGGATGTTTTCATTTAGCTTCTGAACAGTTTAGGTTCCAAATAATTTTTGTTTCTTTGACAAAAGGTTAAATTTTTATCTTGCAGGCTTTTTACTTTTATTTTATTTTATTTTATTTTATCCTCACCCAAGGACATTTTTCCATTTTTTTGTTCAGATAGAGTGGGAGGGGGAGAGAGAGAGAAAGAGAGAGAGAGACATTGATGTGAAAGGGACACATCGAATGGTTGCCACCCGCATGATCCAACCAGGGCTGGGGACAAACTGCAACCGAGGTACGTGCCCTTAGCGGGATCCGAATCCAGGTCTCTCTGGACCGCAGGCTGATGCTCTAACTGCTGAGCCAAACCGGCCAGGGCTTTACCTTGATTTTAATAGTGGCCTTTCTTCCTTGAAATAGTAGACTTTATCCCTTAAAAACAAAAGGAAGGAAATAATTATTAAGATTATTTTTAGAGATCATTTTTCCTTTTTAGAAACTGATAAGGTATTTAAGAATAACTAGATTTTTTTTTAGATGTTATATAGAAGATCAAGATGGAGAAGACTATTAATCCATGGATACACTAATGTCACAACTTTTGACTTCTTTAAATTCCTTTTGTTAAACTTTTTTTTTTAATCCTCACCCGAGGATATTTTTTTTCCTTTATCTTCAGATAGAGTGGGAGGAGGAGAGAGAAAGAGAGAGAGAGAGAAACATTAACGTGAGAGAGGCACATCAATTGGCTGCCTCCCATACAACCCCGACCAGGACCGGGGACTGGACCACAACCAAGGTATGTGCCCTTGACTGGAATTGAACCAGCGACTCTTAGGCCGATGCTCTAACCACTGAGAAAACTGGCCAGGGTCCTTTTGTTAAACTTTTGATGTTTTATTTAAAGATAATTTAAAAGTGGCACATGAAATAAAATTTCTTAATTTTTACATATTCTCAAGATTATGAAAGTTAGCCAGCTATATTAGAGTGATTTTTGATAATAACACTTGGAATGAGAAGCCAAATGTAATATAAAATTTAGTGTTTTTTCCTACATAGTTTTACTGTCCATGATGATAGTATTTTGCAGTACAATTGATGTTCAGTGACCATCAATTAAACAAATGAAAACTACCCCTATTTTCGGGAGGGAGAAAAGTAGAGTTTATTGATTTTTTTTTTCATGTTAATAGTATGCACTCATAAAATAAACCAAGAAGTACCTATTAAGAGATATTTGGTCCAAATACTCGGGATTGTTATTATTGTTATGTAGGTAATGCTCTTTATAATATAACATGTATTTGGTCTTGTTTTTGGTTGTTGTTGTTTAGTTAGTTATTTGATTTTTGCATGTATATGTTTATTAATCCTCATTTGAGGATATTTTTTCCATTGATTTTTAGAGAGAGTGGAAGAGAAGGAGAGAGGGTGAGAGAGACTGAGAGAACATTGATGTGAGAGAGACACATCAATTGGTTGCTACCCGCATGTGCCCCAACCAAGGCCTAGGATTGAACCTGCAACCCTTTGGTGCGTAGGCTGACCTCTAACCACTTAACCACATGGGCCAGGGCTTGTTTATTTATTTTGATTTGGTGGTATTGGGCTGGGAACATCAAAGCTGTAGTCTTAGAAAATTTCACATTACTGAAATAACCTATATCCTCTGTAGTCAGCATTTCTTCTTTTCTTGCCTTAATTTCATGCTCCACCCTCAACAATATGGCTCTCAGTGATATTTTTTTTTTTTTTTTTTTTAGGAATAATTAATTATCCTGACAGTCTTTAATTATAGGTTGGGATTTATTAAATGTGAGGATTGTTGATTTGATTTAGTAACTTGGAACACAGTATTTTTCCCACATTATCTGCCATGGATAGATAGGTTTTTTTCCTTGTCGCCAAGAACAGTGTTTCTTAATGTGCCGCCCATATTAGTGTTGGGCATTTTTGCTTAACCTCTTGTTAACCATTATTTTTTCCTAGGTAGTGTAGTGTTTGAATGTCTTTGTGGAAACACTTGAATAGCTTAGCTATAATTTTCTAAGTTACAACTTTCCCTGCCTTGTTCTTTTTATTCTCGTAATCTTACTAATATCTTTTCCTTTAATTTTGCTTTCAACTTCTTGTCTTAAGTGCTTTAAAATAATTAATTATGGATATCTGGTGCCTATTTCATTACTTATATATAATCACTTCAGTGGTATTGAATTTTGACATCTTTAAATTGTGTCTTGATATTTTATAAGCTAATGGTTAAGTACATTTTAATAAAGTGATCTTAGAAATATAAGTAAAGCACTGGCTGGATTGGCTTAGCAGTTAGAGCATCGGCTCGCGGACCGAAGGGTCTTGTGTTGAATTTCCAGCCAAGAGCACATACCTGAGTTGCAGATTCGATCCCTGGCCCCCGTTGGGGTCGTGCAGGAGGCTACCAATCAATGTTTCTCTCTCCCATCAATATTTCTCTCTCTCTATCCCTCTTTTCCACTCTCTCTGAAAATCGGTGGGGAAAAAATATCCTCGGGTGAGGATTAACCGAAAAAAAAATACAAGTAAAATATAAGCTAATTATTTCTAAGGACGTCTTATAAAGATGTACTTAACCACCAGCATATAAAAACATCAATTTAATACCCAATTTAAAGAGTTTCAAAATAAAATATATTTTACTTATATATGAGATGTACTACCTGTATATGTGTTATATAGTATATACAGTAACATATTTTACTTGCAGTATGTAGTAAATCATTCCAATTTTTCTGCCCAAAAGGTAAATTCCTTGCTTTCTTTCCTCTCATCATTGTAGTCTGCTTAACTTCTTTCATTGCTTGCCAGCATTGAGCTGTGGGAACTAATGGATGGTGCCATTGATGAGATCGAGTATTTCCTACTGTTTGTTATTAAACCTTAGAGTCCTCTTCCTGTTACCTTTGTTTATGATCCTCAAAGAGGGCAGGTGATTGTGTTTTTCACTCCGTAGCCTCTTTTGCTTTCCGTTAGTGTAGTTTTCTTTATTCTGGTTCTTCAGTTTTAAAATGTATTGTACACTATCAGTGATGCTAATTTTAATTAGTGTATTCTCCGGTATTATAGTTATTTTGTCAATGAAAAATACGCCAATATTTTATGTTTTATAAGGTGTATTGTTTCACTCAGTAAACTGTTATTTTGGCATGTTAAGCTCAAAAGAATGACTAAATTCTAAGTATGTTTTAGCTTTTGAGAAAATTAGTTTTTTTAAAAAGGAGGTGAGATCAGGCTGTGAATGAGGCAGAGCTTTACAGAGGTTCTTTAGATCAAAAAGGAGTTTGAGGCATGCATAATCGTTATCCCTAATTTTGAATTCACTTGCACTTTTCCCAGAAGTCCTTTGCTTTCTTTACTAGGTGTAGAGGGTGCAGCATTCCAGAGTAGACTTCCTCATGACAGGATGACTTCTCAAGAAGCAGCTTGTTTTCCAGATATTATCAGTGGACCACAGCAGACCCAGAAGGTCTTTCTATTTATTAGAAACCGCACAGTAAGTTTTTTTTTTCCATCTCATTATTAAAAATGCATTTTTTATACAGAATATGGGGAAAAGAGAGTATCATTGTTAAAAATGTATTGTTTTTCTCCCCTTCAGGTAGTTTTAAAAATGTGTACGTAATTCTTGTTTTTACAAAATTAAGATCTACTTGCTCTCATTCTTTGGATCCTTTTCATTCCTCATCACCTCATATATACAATAAGAATCTTTACACATTTTACCCTGGCCAGTTTGGCTCAGCAGTTAGAGCATCGGCCCGGGTTCGGTTCCCACTAAGGGCACATACCTTGGTTGCAGTTTGTCCCTGGCCCGGGTTGGGGTCGTGTGGGTGGCAACCAGTCGATGTGTCTCTCTTACGTCGATGTTTCTCTCCCCCCGCCCCCCACTCTCCCTCTTGCTTTATCTGAAGATAGTGCAAAAAATGTCCTCAGGTGAGGATAAAAAAAAATCTTTACACATTTTTTTTAAATAATCATTTTGGCCTGACCGGTGTGGCTCAGTGGATTGAGCATCTCCCCATGGCCTGAGAGGTCCCGGTGCAATTCCCGGTCAGGGCACATGCCTGGGTTATGGACTCGATCCCTGGTAGGGGGCGTGCAGGAGGCAGCTGATCAATGTTTCTATCTCTCTCTCCCTTCCTCTAAAACATATTTTTAAAAATAATAATAATCACTTTTTCTTTCTTTCTCAAAATAAGAGAAATCATTATTCTATTCTACTCATCTGGTTCAGCCTCTTCCTCTGGCTACATATAATTGATTTTTAATGTTTGCATAATATTTTGTCTGACAGTTGAATCATAATTTAACTGTTGGACATTTCATTGTCCATTTTTGCCATGTTATTATTGAGCTCTGGGCAACTTTTATGCATTCTTGACTCTATCTGTTTATTATCTCTTTATGATACAGTTCCAGAAGGAAAACTACCTTGTTAAAAAGTATGAACACTTAAGTTTTGATACACATTGCCAGATTGCTTCCCCAAAAGGCTGAACCAGGTACCATCCCCATTGCCCTGTCCTTGTTTTTGTTATTAAAATGATGATAACATCTGCTGCTGTAATAGATCAACACTATTTCATTTATTTTCCATTTCTTGGATTATTTAAATAAACACTGCTTTTCACATTTATTAGTTATTCATATTTCTTCTATAAATTTTTCTCCCATGTCTTTTATTCATCAGGAATTCTTTTTTTTTTTTATCCTCACCCGAGGACATTTTCCCATTTTTTTTTTGTTCAGGTAGAGTGGGAGGGAGAGAGAGAAACATCAATGTGAAAGGAACACATCGAGTGGCTGCCACCCGCACAACCGACCAGGGCCGGGGACAAACTGCAACCGAGGTACGTGCCCTTAGCGGGAACCGAACCCGGGTCTCCGCAGGCCGACTCTCTAACCGCTGAGCCAAACCGGCCAGGGCTCATCAGGAATTCTTTAACCATAGAGTAGAAGAGGGCAGTGTACTATTCAGAACATATTCATTGTACTCTAGGATGATAAAAAACAAATTTACATTGTCATTTTAACTATTTTGACTTTAGTTCAGAGGTGTCATTTTAGCATGTCTGCTTTTTAGCCACCACTAACTTCTTTTTTTGTCTTTAAATGTTCACCCGAGGATATTCCTCCATTTATCTTCAGACAGAGTGGGAGGGAGAGAGAGAGAAACATCAATGAGAGAGTGACAACACATCAATTGGTTGCCTCTGGCACAACCTGAGTGCCGGGGACTGAACCGCAACTGAGGTATGTGCCCTTGACTGGAATCAAACCCATGACCCTTTGGTCCACAGGCCAACACTCTGACCACTGAGCCAGACTGGCCAGGGTGCCACCACTAACTTCTTTATTGTGGTTGTTAGGTTGCAAAATTACTGCCATATTTGGATTGTTTAGCTAGAGTGATTGGTAAGTTATAGTGGATTTTTGTATACAGATTAAAGGTTCTCTTTTGTGAAGAAAAAACAGGTTGATTTTTAACAAGTGAATAGAAAATTCTTAAATGTGTATTTCTGAGGTTGATTTGTCTTGTAATTGAATCCACATCTGTGTGTTGCATATCAACATTTGATCTAAGTAGATCTTTTTAAACAAAATTACCGCTTTTTATTTTGCTTATTCTGAGGGGAGTGTTCACTTATGACCTGAGGTTTACTTTATATGATAGAAGGAGGAAGAGGCTTATGTTGGGGAATGAGGAGCTTGGACCCTGAGTATACTTGAATTACATTTTCCCTTGACAGTGGCCACAGAGAAAAGTAGAGATGCTATGAATTTTGTTAGATTTCTTAATTAGATTTATTTACACCTGACTAAATTTCTCCTTCATTGAAACTTGTGTATAAGCTGTCTTTATTAAGTTTTAGCTAAGACTTAAATATGGTGGTATGCAGTTGGTCTTACATTTTGAAGATATATATTCAGTTGGAAGAGAATTCATGTTAGGGAGAGAAAGAAACATTGATGTGAGAGAGACACGTCTACTGGTTGCCACCCGTACAACCCCAACCAGGGGCGGGGACAAACCGCAGTTGAGATATGTGCCCTTAGTGGGAACCGAACCCGGGACTCTCTGGTCTGCGGGCCAACGCTCTAACCGCTGAGCCAAACCGGCCAGGGCTAGAGCCTATTGATTGTACCACAATATTTTTCATTTCTCATCTTACTGCTTTTCAGCAGTATTTGAAAATATTGACCACTCCTTTTTTCTTAAACTCACTAGTCCCTTAGTTTAACATAGTGTTATGGTTTTTCTACTGCTTCTCTGACTGTTGTCTTCTCTGACTGCTTTATAGGCTTGATCCTTGGAACAATAAGCCATCACTGGTTGGAATTCCTTTGGTCCCCTCCTGTCTCCCATAAGGCCCCCTCTTCTACACTTTTGGCGTCAGTTACCACCCATAAGCAAATAGCACTAGACCTTAACTTTTCCATGAGTTCCAGCTATTTATGTAGATGCCAGTCTTTTATCTCCTCTTGATTGTCTGGAAAGTAAACTCATTATCTTATCTTTTAGTGATCCTGATTCAGTAAATGGCATAATAATTCATTTAGTTGTACAAGCTACAAACTGAGGAGTTTTCCTTGGCATCTCTTTTCCCCCATTTCTGTATATCTAATTTTATCTACCTAGTATCTCTGGAGTCATGCATTCCAGGTTTAAGTCCTAGTTTTTCCCTATCAGTTGTATGATCTTGGCAAGTTACTAGGTATTTTTTCTCTTTTTTTAGGTTAAACATCTCCCAGCTTCTTCAGTAATTTGCTCATTTGATTGACATAGTTTTGTGTTTCACTAGTTTCTTTGTAAGGAATATAATCCTCACTGTTTCAGTGAAAGGCAAGCCCATAATTGAGGCCTTAAAATTAAAAGGTTATTTTAAAGTGGTCAAATGGTATACATGTAATTGTGTGTAATCCAGTTTCTATCATCTAAATACAGTTGCAGTTGTGGTTGGATAATCCAAAGATTCAGCTGACTTTTGAGGCTACTCTCCAGCAATTAGAAGCACCTTACAACAGTAAGTAATGTGTTCAGTAGGACGGGTTTGGGAATGGATTATGAAAACTGACATTTCCTTCCAGCAGTCTCATGGTTCTTTGATAATGAATTTTTTAAATTCATATTTCATCTTATTTCACCTTGTAAAAAAGCATTGTAGAAAAGCTACAATGGATTATCATTCTTAAGAATTCCTAATTATGTGATATGTATTTTATACTACCTCACAGACTAAGAGTTCTAAGAATCACTTTTCTAAAGGAGTCACATGACCTGAAGGTTATGGAAAAGATGTGTAGAATGATTTCATGATGGAGAAATAGAAGAGTTAAAAAGTTTTTTGTTTAAATTGCTAAAAATATAAACATGTTTTTAAATTCATTTATCCTGTAGGTGATACTGTGCTTGTCCACCGAGTTCACAGTTATTTAGAGCGACATGGTCTTATCAACTTCGGCATCTATAAGAGGATAAAACCCCTCCCAAGTAAGGACCTGGCCAATGCATTCATGATTTTGTTATAATTCTAGGACTCAAATTTTATTTCCAGTAGGATTTTAGCATTTTATTTTTATTTCTAAATATATATTTGGAGTCAAACTTAAAATCTCTTTGTAAATGCAGTTTCTATAATTTCTGGTTTGATGGGTACTTGGTAAAGGTACTGGACTTCCCATTTAAGAGGAATCAATTAAAATATAAAATTAGTTAAAAAATGAGAGAAGTGAGTTGTGAAAGCAGGAGGTTTGCAGTTTTCTCTCACTGACCAGTTTTTAATACTGCTAAAGGTTGCATTTTTATTTTTTACTTACTGGTTACCCTTTCATGGTCTCTGGATAATGTCTGCCAGGAGTCCAGGAGATAGAGATATTTTAAGAATTAATACATTTATTTATTTATTATTTTAAAAATACATTTATATTTAATGCTTTAATAATTCTTCCAAAAGGGATACTGAAGACTGTAGAAGTAGAGCTTAAAGAAAAGGGCTTTAGTTGGCCTGTGGACTGGAGAGACCCGGGTTCAGTTCCCGCTAAGGGCACGTACCTTGGTTGTGGTTTGTCCTCAGCACTGGTTGGGGTTGTGTGGATGACAACCACTCGATGTGTCTCTCTCACATCGATGTTTCTCTCCCGCTCTATCTAAAGATAAATGCAAAAATGTCCTCAGATGAGGATTAAAAAAAAAGAACTTTTAGGGTTTCTGGTCAAATTGTCCTAGTATAATTGTGAAGTAATGAATGAAGCAGGTTATTTACAATAAGTTAACCAAGGATCAGAGATACTGAAACACATGACTGAAAAAATAAGAATGTAAATTCCAACATAAAGGATTTCACTTATACATTTTTAACATTGAATTATAGTTTATAGGTTTTATGTATTTGTTAATTTGTATTCAGATGGTGTCCATATTTTGAAAATCACTGTCTGAATTGTTTACTTTGTAATACATCATGATATGTTAAGAGGTTTTCATGATAAAATGCCATAAGTAGCCCAGCCAGTGGTTGAGCTTCGATCCATGGACCAATAGGTTGCCAATTCTATTCCTGGTCAGGGCACATGCCCAGGTCTTGGGCTCGATCCCCTTGTGGGGCGTGCAGGAGGCAGCCAATTGATGTTGATGTTTCTCTCTCATTGATGTATCTCTCTCTCTCCCTCTCCTTTCCTTTCTCTCTAAAATCAATAAAAACATTTTTTTTCAAAGGCCCTGGCTGATTTGGCTCATTGGTTAAAGCATCAGCTCACGGACCAATGAGTTGTGGGTACGAATCCGGTCAAGGGCACGTACCTTGGTTGTGGTTCATCCCGGCTCTGGTTGGGTCGTGTGGGAGGCAACTAGTTGATGTTTCTCTCTCACATCAATGTTTCTCTCTCTCCCTTCCCCTTCCCACTCTGTCTGATGATAAATGGAAAAATATCCTCAGGTGAGGATTTTTTTAAAAAGCCCAACCAGTGTGGTTCAGTGAATTGAGCATTGTCCCATGGACCGAGAGGTCCTGGTTCAATTCCCAGTCAAGGTACATGCCCGGGTTGTGGGCTCGATCCCCAGTAGGGGGCGTATAGGAGGCAGTCAATCTATGTTTCTCTCTCACATTGATCTTTCTATCTCTCTCCTTTCTATAAAAAAATCAATAAAAACATTTAAAAAAAACAACCTACCATAAGAACAAACTCAAACCTACAATAAAATATTCTAATTTTTCTTTGTTTCTGCTTTTAGCTAAAAAGACAGGAAAGGTAATTATTATAGGCTCTGGAGTCTCAGGCTTGGCAGCAGCTCGTCAGTTACAAAGTTTCGGAATGGATGTCACACTTCTGGAAGCTAGGGTAAGAATTTTATTATGGGTTTAGAAGCCTGACCCAAAGGAACCTAAGGCAGTTATCTGTTGCAAATTAAGAAATCATAACTTGAACTAAGCCAAATTGATTTATATTAATATTCAAAGTATTTTGGATAGTGTTATTTATATTGAAGCACTTTTTACAGTAAAGCTTTGAAAAGTGCTCAGTGGGGATTTAGAGGTTGTAAATGATATATCCATTTGATGGGTATTTGCAGGTCATGGGGCCTTCATGGACATATCCTTAGCAGGAGGCAGTATTTTCAGAAGTGGAACAGAGTGAACTGTATTCCTCGTTTGATAGTCAAGGAAAGGAGTTGCTTCTCAGGCAGCAGCCATGCCATTTTTTAGGGTCTGATCAAGCCAAGATATTGGTTCCCTTCTCATTAGTCCTAGAGAGAGAAAAGGAAACTAAAGGAGGAAAAGGATGATAGCACAGAGTGGAAAAAAGAACATCCTATTAGGATACTACTATTCAAATTATTTTTATTAAATTTTGAGATTTAATTATCTTCAGTGACTTAAGGACTCCCTGGACTTCTGCTGTTTATTTATTTATTTACTTACTTATTTTAGACTTCCACTATTTAAAAAGCACTACTTGCCCTGGCCCGGTGGCTTTTGGCTGAGCCATTGTCCCATATACCAAAAGGTTGTGGGTTCAATTCCTGGTCAGGGCATGTACCTGTGTTGCATGTTGATCCCTGGTTAGGGTGCGTATGGGAGGCAACAGGTTGATGTTTCTTTCTTTCTCTCTCTCTCTCTTCCGCTCCCTCCAAAAAAATAAATGAAAACATATCCTCAGTGAGGATTTAAAAAATTAATTAAAAAAAGAACTTCTGGCCCTAGCCAGTTGGCTCAGTGGTTAGAGTGGCCCATGGACCAATGAGTCACGGGTTCGATTCCGGTTAAGGGTACTATGACCTTGGTGTGGTTCATCCCCTGCCCTGGTTGGGGTCATGCGGGAGGCAACCCAGTCGATGTGTCCCTCTACATGTCGTCATGTCAATGTTTCTCTCTCTCTCTGCCCCCCCCCCCCCCCATCTGAAGATAAATTGGAAAAATATCCTCGGGTGAGGATTAAAAAAAAAACAAAACATTTCTTCCCTGGCCAATGTGGCTCAGTTGGTTGGAGCATTGTCCCATACACTGAAAGGTTGGAGGCTCAATTCCCAGTCAGGGTACATATCCAGGTTGCTGGTTCATTCCCTGGTCCACGTTTGTTTGGGAGCCAACTAACTGATCAATGTTTCTCTCTTACATCAATGTTTCTCTTTCTCTTCCTCTTTCTAAAATCAATTTTAAAAAATAAATAAATGCTTCTCAAGGTAACCTAAACAACTTAAAATTTTATAAAAGCTTTAGAAATGTTTTATGTAGTGCAATCCAAATCACTTTTTACAATTGCTAATTTTTAGAAATAGTCTTTTCAAATATGGGAAAATCAAAAGTAAACCATTTCTGATACAGTTTTACTAAAAATAGTATATTATGATAAAAATAGTATATTATTCATTAATTCAGATAACAGTTGTGTGCCCTCTGTGATTGTTTATCTGCTTGCTTAAAGTTTCTATGCCCGTATTATTTATCCATGACTGAAATATTCCTACAGCTCAGTAAGTTGCCCCATATTTGAAAATCCCTAGTCAGCAGAGATAAACTTGGGCCTGTTTAAAAATGAGAGGTATTGTTGACAGTTCTTGCTCATTAGACAATCTGCCCCTGGGCATGGGCCTGCTCTGGAGAAACATTTGTCAAAGAAATCTATCAAATCATTCACAGTTGACTTTGGGCTCTGCAGGACAAGAGTCGAAACTCAATGGTAGAAAGATGGCATTTAGTGTTGGAATTTTTTAATCCATATTTTCTATGTGTGTGGCCCTTGCTTAGCCTGCCCATTAGTGATAGAGACAGCTGATAGAGAGCAGTACCTATGACTAAATATCTCTTCTATCAAATTGTTTTTCCTACTTCATATCGTAATTCTATACCTCTGTAGATGTCATTGTTACCTACACTCCCTCAAATAGTCTTCCACTTTAACTCCATTTGTTCTTTGTGCCTACTGTACTGTTGATTGCACACTCCGTGTAAACTCTAAGCTACACCTTTCTTTTTAATTCATAAAGGACAAAGGCCTGGGATGGTACCATCCCAGGTTCTTACCGTTAAAATAGAATTGATGATTTTAGCCATTTGATTTCTGAAAAACAGGATCGTGTAGGTGGACGAGTTGCCACATTTCGAAAAGGAAACTATGTAGCTGATCTTGGAGCCATGGTAGTAACAGGTCTTGGTAAGTGGTTTTGTGCTGTAATACCCATCTGAGATTCAAAGATTGTTTAAGCTTATATTTTAAAGCCATAGATACAATTTTAAAGTATATTGTCTTACAAAAGACAGATGAAAAAATGCTCAACAGTCACTAATCATCAGAGAGATATAAATTAAAACAACGATGAGGTATCATCTCACACCTGTCAGAATGGCTGCCATCAACAAATCATCAAACAAGTGTTGGCAAGGGTGTGGAGAAAAGGGGACTCCAGTACACTGCTGGTGGGAATGCAGACTGGTGTTGCCACTATGGAAAACACTATGGTGTTAACTCAAAAAGTTAAAAATTGAACTGCCATTTGATCCAGTGACCCTACTTCTAGGACTATACTCTAAGAAGCCTGAAACACCAATCAGAAGGAATATATGTACCCCTATGTTCATAGCAGCACTGTTTACAATAGCTAAGATCTGGAAACAACCCAAGTGTCCATCAGTAGATGAGTGGATAAAAAAGCTGTGGTACATATACACAATGGAATACTATGCAGCTGTAAGAAAGAAAGATATCTTATCATTTGAGGTGACATGGAGGTACCTGGAGAGTTATTAGGCTAAGCGAAACAAGCCAAGCAGAGAAAGACAAATATCACATGATCTCACTTATTTGTAGAATATAATGAACCAAACAAACTGATGAACAAAATTGACCCAGAGACATAGAGGTAGGGTACAGACTGACAAACCTCAGAAGAGGGGGAGTGTTGGGGAAGAAGAGATAAACCACAGAACTTATATGCATATAACCAATGTATAACCAATGGATATAAACAACAAAGCTGGGGGTGGGGAGGAGGGTGTCAGTGGGGGAGGGGGGAGGCATCTGTGACAAAAACAAATTAATAAAAATAACTTAAAAAATAAAATAAAAATAATTTCTCCTAAAAAATAAATAAAATATAATATAATATATTGGCTTAGATACTACTGTTAGTGTTAGTGAGAGGTAAATTGACAAATTGTTTTCCTGAAAGGATATATCAATATGTGCACATTTTAAATTGTACAGACATTTAAATGTGGCATTTTTAACGTGGCATAGCAGAACATTAGAAACCACAGATTAGAAGATGAAATTATTATACAATGAGAACTATATAGCCACTAAAAATGATATAACTCCATATTAACATGAAAGGATGTCCACAGTTTATTGCTAAGTTGTAAAAATATTACAAAACAAAACATGTTACGATCCTTTTGTGTGTGTATGTCTGTAATTCTGTGCACATAAAATCTAGAAGAATCTAATAAAATGTTAACTGAGATTATAGGTAATTTTTTGCTTTATGCTCATCTTACACATTTGTCTTACTTTTGGCTTTTTATACGTGTATATGTATATAATATACAAGCTTAGGATATTTTAAATTTGAGTAAAAATATTTTTGCTTTGGAGTTTTTGTTCTTTTCATAGGTATGTTGAATTTAATCATTTGAGTTTTTCCTAGGAGGGAATCCCATGGCTGTAGTCAGCAAACAAGTAAATATGGAACTGGCCAAGATCAAGCAAAAATGCCCACTTTATGAAGCCAATGGACAAGCTGTAAGTGGAGGACAAACAGAACTTTTCAAAATTTCTTTGGTTCAGTTGAAAACAATTTTGGGGAAAATATGTGGGTGAATATACACACATATATATATGAACTGAGGGCAGAAATGATGTTTGTGGTTATTCCTTAACTCTGAGTTATATGGGAAGGGATTATTACTGCATACATGTCAATACATATGCCTGTTTAAGCATTTATCTTTAGACATTTAATGAAGGCTAGCTAGACAGTTAATCTTTTTATTTAGCTGTAGCCAGCTACTCCAAGAGACCTGTGTAATTGTCACCTGATTCTTTTCTTTGTATTGTGCCTTCCATCATGTGCTTTAGCTCCATGTGCTCTTTATGACTTCCGTTTTGTGTTTGTAGGCTCAAGTTTTTAATGGGCTAATAGCCAAATGTTGGTATTTAGTCGATGCTTATGGTAGGTACTTATTGACCCAGACACATAGGAGCTTCCTTGTATAGCAGTAGCATGTTCAGTCTGGGAGAGTGACATTAGTTTAACAGCTATATGATAGGCTTATACTGTAATTCAATCCTAGTGTTTAGAAGTGAAATTCAAAAGTTTGTATTCAGCAGAAGTTTTACCAGTTCCCCTGTCAGAAGTAAGGGTATCTACAATTCTAAGGAAGGAAAGATTTGCTATGTATATGGCAGTTTAGTTATTGTTACTAAAAGTGGTAAGATCCCAACTTTAGGTGCCATGGGACATTCTAACCTATTTCTAAATACCTTTAAGCTTTATGGAATTCATCTCTGAGAAGGACAGACTTTCAGGGAGTGGAGTGCTTTGGTTCCCATCTCCACCATTCTGGATCCAGATTTCCTTCCAGGACTTTGGGGGAGGGGCGGAGTGGAGGGCTGGGCAGCCTTCTTACAGAATTAACAAAATAGAACGAGAGAGAGAAAAAGGACAAAGGAGAACTTTTACTACTCTGCAAAGATATATAAAGGATATAGAATTGAATGAGACATTCCCTGCTACATAATACGCCACAGGGTAGTGGGAATTGTACACAAATATCAACTTTTTATTATGGAAAATTTCAAACATATACAGAAGTAGAAAGAATGCCATAATGGACTTCCATTTTTCTATTCCAATCTTGTTTTATTCAGCCTCCTTTTTGGTCTGGAGTATTTTAAAGTATATCAGCCAGTTAGTCAACAAGTATTTATTGAACATTTGCCGTAATCTAGGCCCTATTCTAAGCACTGAAGCTGTCTCTGCCTTCAAGGGGCTTAAATTCTAGTGACTCCAGATATCTTATGAACTTAAGAACATCAGCAATAGCAGCTGTCATTAAAATCAAAGTGATTTTTTTTTTCCTTCTAAGCATATTACTCCTGCATATTCCAGTAACACAAAGACAAGGTAAATTTGCTGAGGGTTAGGTAGAAGGAGAAATTGCTACTGAAGAGCCTAGGGAGAGAGTCTCTGGAGGTTGGAGGGACAAGGGTGGGAGACATTTAGAGGGAGGGAGAGCATTTTGAAGGTGGCTTAGGACTTGAACATATGGTCGTGGAGAGAAAGGCATTGAAGGCGGAAGAAAGTTTAAGTCTACGAGAGGTCTAAAGGAGGGTAGGATTATACTGGCAAGGGGCTAATGATATAAAACCAAAGTTTAAGGTGGAGGCTGATTTGTAGGTTGGGATTTCACAAGGTCTAGAGTAGGGAAAGTAACATGATCAGATAGGTATTTTTGATAGTCAGGCAGTAGTTTAGAGAATTGAATTGAAGCAAGGCCTCTAACGTGGATATTACATTAGTCCCCAAGAAGTAATGGGATCCAAACCAAAGATTACCAGTGATTATTGACACGCTACACTGCCTTTTTCTTTAGATTTTCCTGAATATAGGGTACCTAGTTTCATTTACTCTGACAGTAAAAGGAAAGCTTTTTTTCATAGAGCTATCCAGAAAAATTGTCTGCTTTCTTGGTATTAGATGAGCTTTAACACATTTTTTGTTTGTTTGTTTCTAAGTAGTATACCAGTATTCCTCTCACGTGTGGCCTGTAACAAGCTGCCAATCCATGAACTATTGTTGCCGCTATGGGTTGAGGTAAATAGCTGGCTCCAGAATGCAGATAAACTACATCACTCACCACACTGAGTTCAGATAATAACTCTTTGGTAGCAAGACTTTCTCATTGAAGGAAGTGGTGTGTTAATTTACGTTCTGGCATAAGCTCCTTATCTCACCAGGATCAGCCCTTTGAGTAACACTGTAGTAAACTGTTGTTAAGCAGGTATGTCGTTTTTAGGATTTTGTATGCTGGGATATTTTTCCAAGTGAAATTTGTCATTGTCATTCAACTCTGATCTTTGTAGGATTTTTCAAAGTTAGTATGTTTCTATTTGGTGCAGTAGCCCAGTAGTAAGGGGGATTCTTGAAGCAGTCTCAAAGTTGGGGAAAAATTATTTGTAGTGTTGAGTTCCATTTCCCTTAAGGTAGTTAAACCTAAGAAGGCGTGTTAATGTTTTTGTATTTTACTGTTTCCAGTAGTCTAGTTCAGAGTATGAATGGACAACTGTTAACCAGAAGACTGGCTTTTAATTTATAGGACAAGTGCTAACAACTCATAGCTGCATTAACTGATGCTTATAATTACAATTATGTTTCATGGCTTTAGAAATCTAAGGAGTCAGTAGGTGAGTTGCTTCATTCTCCCATTTTGCAGGGGAAGAATCTAAAGCTCAGACATGTGTTTGCCTGAGGTCATTATGTAAGTCAGTAAATTGTAGAGCCAGGATCCACTCAACTTCACGCTTGTTCTGCTTAAGCTTGGCTATTTCAGGGAAGGGTGGGGACATGGTTAAGAGTGTACAACTCTAATGGCCTGTGTGACTGCATCAGCTGGGTCTCCTTTTCAAAGAGCTTTGTTTTTAACAGTTATGTACTCTAAGAAGGCATCAAGGCCCATTTGCCCAGTCATTGATTTTTCTTCAGTAAAATCTAATGAAGTGGGGTTGTGTTCTTCCTTTATTTGTGGACAGCCCCAAAAAGAAAGGGTGAGTTATTTGATGTTTCTTTTGTTAGTACATTGAAATAAATCTCATCCTCTACAAGGCCTACACTTTTAGAAATATCCCTTGCAATATTATCTTAAGGACATATCACATACCCAGCCATTTTGCTGCTATAGGGAAAAATTACATAGCAAGTGGTTTTTGTTTTGTTTCTTGTTATTTTTAATCACAATCACAAGTATCCCTGAAAGAGTTTACTTCTCTGTTCTCTCTGGTCCTGCATTGACAGCTAAAATAGAGAGTTTCTGTGTTCGTTTTGACAGGGAAAGTTTATTTTATGGCTCTGGGTACTAGAACAAGGGTTTTCCTATTTGGTTCTAAACAGGATATCCCTGTAGATAAAAGTATCTTTTAGCAGCTGCCCTCAGATTGACTGATGATGGAATTATACTCTGAACTATACTTTAAATCAGCTTTAAGTGGATGTGGAGAAGGTTGGGTAAATAGGGTAATATTTCAGGAACGTTTTGGGAGTCACCAATGAGGGGACTGAAAACATGGATTGTTGGGGAAGAAGGGAGAAATGACTGAATGTTTTCTGCATCTCCTGTACACCAGCCAGTAACTCGGGAGTTTTAATTTAATTTTGTTTTGTCTGCTTTTGAATAATGAAAAGGTATTTTAATCAAATTCCCAAAGTACTGTAGCATTCTGCATCACAATGGGACAAAAAGTTAGAGTTCTATATTACCAAATGAGATCCAAAGACTCAGAAACTACTCAAAAAAAAGATAACTGGTTTTCTTAAATAGCTCAACTGTTCTGAGGAAGAAAGATAATAGACACCAGGTCTTTTACAATGACCATTAACTAGATGTACTCAGTACCTATCATAAGGTAACCAGTTTTCACTTGTAGTCATAGAGAGTGGTGCTTAGGTTACTATACTTAGAGGCCTGCTGGCCTTTTCAGTTTTTACTTTCCTTTGTGGAAATATCTTCAATATCTTTAAGGTATTCTTTCTCTACCCTTTAAAATTATGACTGCCAATCTCTGCTTTTTATAAATGTAAAAATCTCCTGCCTTCCTTTAACGTTCCTGAAGTTGCAAAATAGGTATTTTCCCCTCAAATGTAGTGCTTTTCTAAAATGTATTTTATTCATTTAACAGGAATTTACTGAGCACCTCTACTGTATACTAGAATTGCTAGTAGTACCCCTTAGACACATTGTGTGTACCTTCTCCACATAGGCTAGTCACTGTTTTAGAGAAGTCCAATATTTACATTATCTAAATATTCCCTGTGAGTTTAAAGGCATCAGCCTTCATTTATAGGCTCACATTGAACTTTTTGATTGAAGAAATGCTTGTTTTCCTTATTCTCCCTTTAGGAATAATGGCTATATCTCATTTTCCTTAGTTATTTGGGAACCTGAATTAGAGACTGTTCAGATGTAAATTATTTCTTCCAGGTTTTACCAAAGGAACCAATCTAAATCTTTTGTTTTATCATAATTCTAGAAGTGCATGGAAATGGGAGAGGTGGAGATTGACTGTAGCCTGTGTTGGCCAGTTTTGGCCATTGCAGCTTTTTTGAGGATTTCTCTGGCTAAATTCCGAACTTTCTGTACTCAGAACCTAGTTGCAGTCAATTCCATTCTGCTCTGCTCCTTAAGAACTTATACAGACTGGAAGTGAGGTGATGTTTTTGAAGACCTTAAGAGTTTGTGGTGATAGAATGCTGCCAGAGGTAGGACTAAGGAGAGTTGTCCTTTCTTTGAGATGACTTCTTGCAGGATCAGGGACCCTGTCCAAAAAGTTGCTTGGTTCTCCGTAAATTTATTCTGCATGGGCTAGATGCATAGGCTGCTCCTCCCTTGGCCATGTTCAGGAATGTTCCATATAGTCTACAAGACCAAAACGATCAGGATTGTACCCATTTAGAGCAGTGAGACTCACCAGATTTTCTTAGTCTTATGGAACTGTTTATCTGGAGCTTGTCATGGGGAAATAAATGGCTTTGAAAAGTCATATCAAAATCTGTTTCAAGTGATATCTTTTTTGCTTAATTATTTACTAGGAAACTATCAAATGCCCTTTCCGAAAAAACTGCTTGCTTCTTAGTTTGCTGTAACATGTTCTTGCTGTATTGTAATACAGAAATCCAGCTACTTGTCTAACATAGTGCCCAGCCCTTTGCAAAGCAGTTTAAGAACCTAAATAGAATGATCAGGTAAAACTAAAATTTATTGCTTCTTGTGTTTAGAGATTGTCAATATTTCAACTCCTTTTCATAATTTGTGGAACTAAGAGTCCAAAGGTTCTCACCAAGGGGAAAGAAATGACCTAGAATAGGTAATTAGCAGGTGCTTAAAGGTCATCATTTGCAAGTTTTTTTCATTGTCTGGGTATGTCAAGTAGGGCATATCTAACTAGCTTAATTTTAGAAACATTCAAATTTCAATATATCAACACCACATTTTGGGTTTCGCCCAGTCATTATTGATTAATGGACAAATATTTTATTTTCTGTTTTCTAACTATTCCTTTAATTTCAAAGTGGAATTTTAAAGTTAATGGAAAAATATTCAGGTTTCAAAGCTATCCCGGGTCTCCTTGGCAACATTCCCATAGCAGTTTAGGCAGAAACCGGCTGAGGCCTAACTGCTGTTTCTGTAGTCTCCTTCCTGGGGCCTCGAGTGAGATGGTGTACAGGAGATGCAGCCGTGTCGTCCTGACTTCCGTCAGACGTGGCAGTGGCCTTTTGGTTTGGTTTTGTTTGTTTGTTGTTCTTATTACTGTTCTGTGTTTCTTTTTCTCTTTTATTCAGTTTGCTTTATTCCTCACTGCTTTCTGATACCATCTCCCTTTACCACTACCCCTCCTCCCCACACTACCTTTCTTTTGCCCATTTCTGTGCCTTGACTTTTCCATTTTGGTCACTGTACAGTCTGTTCCTTAGTTCTCTGGTGGTTGCAGCTTCTGAGCTAACAATGCTTCTGTCGTGCTGTGTATTTAAAGCCTTGATTTTACTGCTGTCGTACAAAATTAAACTTGACGTGGCTGTTGGGCTGTTATTTACAGTTTATTTCTCTCTCTGCTGCACTGGTTAAAAGGACACTGTCAAGGTATTTTTTTCATAATTTTTCAAATCATTTTCCTCACTGTTTACAATAACCCATTAAAAGCTTGAAACTTAAATCTTTCCCTTCCAAAGGTCCTCTCCATCATACATTCACACTGGTTTGTTGTTGTAGATTTGCACCTATATGTTGGGCTGGTGCCATTTGAGTTTTTGTCATTGAAAGCGCATGTAAAAAGTCAGGTTTTTTGTGGGGGCTGTGGGGAGACTAAAGGGAAAAGTGTAATGAATCAAGTGGGCTGCTCAGCAAACAGGGAAGAAACAAAAGGTCAAATTTGGTCCCTTTAACCTTGACAGTGTCCCTTTAAATATTTCTCTACCACACACCCTGGACCCCAGTTACTGAGCCTGAGTGCTGCGTATTTTCAGTATGAACTTCCCTATGTGACTGTCACCCTAGCTGCAAAGATTAAAGCTTGTCTGAAGCAAGACATCCAGTTGACACTGGAAGAGCTTTAATCTGTACCATTTGCACACTTGTGTATTGGCACATTCTGCCCTATTGTAGAGGCATATGTGATCTGGTCCCTCTTGCTGCTATAGCATCTCTTGCTAGACATTTTAGAAGCCACACATAGAAATACCACCTTTTTCTCTATTCCAGGAAAGTAGTCACATACATTGCATCTAGGATCTGTTAAGATCTCATAACTGTAGATAATCAGTTGAAAGTGTAATTGTTTCCTTTTTAAAAGGTGCACCAAATTTAGAGTTTCTACAACCATCTTTTGTAGCATCATTGCAGGAATTATACCAAGCAAAATTTCAGCATTGCTTGCTACTCTAAATATGACCATCACATTAATGAGGAAAAATAACTGATGAGAAAGTAAATGAAATTCCTGACAAGATGGTCTCTTCCATTAGCTTTGATAGCTGTGTAATCAGAATAAGTAGGGATATCATCAAGAGATCCTTTCTTTGGCCATGGAGCTGAATAGGAGGTCAGATGTGTTTGATCCACCGAATCCTAGGTACTCTGATAAATAAATAGCACTAACTATCCAAAGCCGGATTCTCTGTCTTATTTCTCAACATAAACCAGAAGATTCTCGGGTTCATATTTCTTAGACTAATGAGGATTCTCTATTTCATAAAGATTTCCTGATCTCTCCTGTGTGGTCTTTTAGAACTCGATACTTTAAAATACACTTTTGAACCCTGACCGCTTTAGAGTGTTGGCCCAAGGACCAAATGAGTTGCGGGTTTGATTCCAGTCAAGGGCACATACTTTGGTTGCGGTTCGTCCCCGGCCCTGGTCAGGTCCTATGGGAAGCAGCCAATCGATGTGTCTCTCTCACATCTATGTCTATGGGAGGCAGCCAGCCGATGTGTCTCTCACATCAATGTCTGTCTGTCTGTCTCTCCCCCCCCCCCCCCCGCTCTTCCCCATCCCCCCCCCCCCCAGTCTATCTGATGATAAATGGAAAAATATCCTCGGGTAAGGATTTAAAAAATAAAATAAAATACACTTTTGGTTGAATCACTTATGGTATCTGTCATATTTACAGTTTCAAAGGACAGTTGTAGTCCTTTCCCCTCTTATTTTTTTGGTGCAGATTGTACTTTTTGCCACCCCCTGGCTCGTACGGAGATATTCATGTGACTTATCAGTGAAGGGGCTTGTGCTCAAAATCATCTGTTCAGTTGGGAAGGGCAAAAACTAAGGGGTTTCAAACAAGAGGTAGAGTCTTACTGTTGATGATCTTGTCCACAAATCAGTCATCTCTGATTGTAAGAGATCACTTCTCTTCAGCCTTAGTGTTTATTAGAACTTTTTTTGTTTTCTTGTTACCAATTTTAGGTTGACTATAAAGTGAGATTCATATTTTAAATCCCATTTCCCAGTTGATGCCCGGCTTATTATGTCAAGAGATGCTTGCTTGCATTAGACGTGCTTTTTTCTTCTCTTGCTGCTGTCATGAATTCAGCAATAGAATTGCAGATACAGAATTGCGTGGCAGCAGAGGTATTTGTGTCCACTAACTGATGCTATCAATAGGCAGGGGCACAATAGGGCCTGGGAGCATGGTCTTACAGCTTGATGATCTGCTTTGCAATCTTTTCTCTTCCTCCACCAAGTGAACCAGACCTGATACCTCAGTCACTCATAATCTGAGCTTTGAACATTCAACTCTGAACTTAATTGGTGCCATAAAATACTTAACTCTGCAAATTAATAGGTTGTTAATAGCAAATTTCACTTCTCTCTTTCCTACTCCCACCTTAAATTGTCATCTTTGAAGGGAAGCAGATACCTCGGGCTTCTTATTTGTTCATCTTGCCCTTTTTCTGGAAGGTCCTCAGGTGTGTTGACACAATTTTTGTTCTCTGGGACTTTTCTAGCTATTGTTTGCATGTCAGCCCAGCTTATCTCAGTGCATGTCAGCTCCACATAACTTTGATTAGCATCAGTGTGAATCATGGGGCTGTTAATAGAGGTGGAGTCCTAGCTCTGAGGGCAAAATTGGGAGAATAGGAAAATACCAGTGCCAACAACATTTCATATCTCATTTAATGGAATTAACCACTTCATAGAAAAGAAAGTTTAAATCATTGTCCTCAAAGGTTTCTCCTTTGAGATACACATTCTGACTTTTTAATCTGTACAGCATTTGTGTTTTCATGGGTGGTTATATTTAGTCTCATGAGGACCAACTCTGCTATACTTCGGATTTTCAGGTTCCTAAAGAAAAAGATGAAATGGTAGAGCAAGAGTTTAACCGGTTGCTAGAAGCTACATCTTACCTTAGTCATCAGCTAGACTTCAATGTCCTCAATAATAAGCCTGTGTCCCTTGGCCAGGCATTGGAAGTTGTCATTCAGTAAGTACTTCAATTCAGTGCTGCTTGTTGTCTAGTGAAGTCCATTTAGAGATTTGCTATTTTTGTTTAAATTTTGCATCAAATCTTATTTGAGTGAATGTTTGCTTGTTTCCATGTGAAATAGTTAAATCTAAAAGTAAAACTGCCCTGGCCAGTTTGGCTCAGCGGTTGGAGCGTCAGCCTGCAGACCAGAGAGTCCCAGGTTCAGTTCCCAGTAGGGACACATACAAAAAAAAATAATAAAAGTAAAACCATTTAAAATAATTACATGATACATAATTCACTTTTATGGCACTAAACTATATTTAATATAGCCTAGAAAATAATTTGCCACCAGCCAACTTTCTCATTCCAGAGTATTAGAAATTTCAGTGAGCCTTGTTCCTCTTGAATGTTTTTTGATGGATACCAGTCTTATGTCCCAAAGCTGACTGTGTGACCAGGACATACGAACTGTCTCTCTTAGGTTACAAGAAAAGCATGTCAAAGATGAGCAGATTGAACATTGGAAGAAGATAGTGAAAACTCAGGAAGAATTAAAAGAGCTTCTTAATAAGGTAAAATTCTGTTTATTCATAGCTAAAGGTGCATCAGTAAGGAAAATAAAAGCCTTTAATTTAGAAATTCTAAAAGCACCAGGACTCATTAATTACTCTTAAGAAAAGAATGACTAGCAAAAGGCACTGTTTTATCTGTCAGTCTTCAGTGTGGCATTATTGGTAAATTGTTGTCAGGGTCCCTTTGGCTGTTGTAAAGCTGACCTAGTGCCCTCTGCTGAATTCTGGGATGAGAGATGAGAACAACAGGTCAGCAGCCAGGACTATAATTCATTACCATAATTATTCCAGTAGTGTCAATGGTATATCTATGGAGGGCTCTATAACATCACCCTCCAGAGCCCTGGCTACAGAGTAGGAAACCATTTGCTGCTCCTTACCCTGCTAGCTGCAAACATAACACCAGCTTAGGGAGAAAATATGAAGTGAGACAGCTCCTGTGGGGGTTGTCATGTAGAATCTGGGGCATCTTGTGACTAGATTCTTGCCTCGCTCTCACTGTGCTTTATTTCTTCATCTTGTCAAGTGAAGAGGTCTCTGACCTCCTTTTCATGATTGTGGTGCGGATGGAATGAGAAGAGAGGCCAGAGAACGGCCAGCCTGCAAGATAGCTGTGGGGCCCCAGTCTCAAGCTTTAACCGTCCCCTAGTCTCTGTAGTACCATTAGAAATCTGACCAGGTTGACCCAGGGAGTGGTTCCTTAAGGTGCTTTGTGTGATGACTTGACCTTTTATATATTTAAAAAACAAATCATGATCATTTGCTTTCCAAAACAAGTTTGTTACAGTGGTGGAAGTTTGTTTATCCTGGAAATTAAATTAATTTGCATATGTGTATATAATTCTTTTTAATCAGTGGGACACTCCTAGTTTTCCCATTTGTTTTAGAAGACAGAACCAGTCTTACTTATCTGACAGTGCAATGATATTCTTGTGTTGAGCCATGTAGGATTTTTTTCCTATTCTAAAATGTTATGATATACAAGAGCTTTTTAAGAATTCCAATGACCTGTTTTGTTATAGTAGCAGTTTAGGGGAGGAGCCAAAGCATGTGATTTGGAGATGAATGACATCACTATCTGGCATGGTAAATTTGTGTATTTTCTTCTTAGATGGTAAATTTGAAAGAGAAAATTAAAGAGCTCCATCAGCAGTACAAAGAAGCATCTGAAGTCAAGCCGCCCAGAGATATCACTGCTGAGTTCTTAGTGAAAAGCAAACATAGGGATCTGACTGCCCTGTGCAAGGTATGGTATACATATGTACATGCCCAGTTGGTTTTACTTGGAATCCTAAGTCATAGTATAGATCTGAGAAACTTTGCAAAAGAGCGAGCCACTAGCCAATCACAGGTGCCTATAATAAGAAGAGAAGAGGATTTGGTACACAGGAGCCAAGGGGGCATAGAAAGTGGTAGTTGCTATTCCTACCTCCCCTCATCTTAATATCAGGCTCACATTATAATTTGTCTCCAAGAACAGCCATCCCCAAGCCCTGACCTAGCCTTAAGCCAAGACACTTACAGATGTGACCTGGGCAGGGATGTGGTCCAGACCTTACATTTTGTGGTATAAATAACTAGGTTGGTCTCTGACACATCTAGATCAACTGGTTCTCTTAATTTTATCAGGAATATGATGAATTAGCTGAAACACAGGGAAAACTAGAAGAAAAACTTCAAGAATTGGAAGCTAATCCCCCAAGGTAAGAAAAAAACACAGATATTCAGAGGGCTAGCATTTACTGTTGTTTCTGTTAGATTTGGAGGGAACATTATAAAGCACCATGATTTTATTTATGTTGAATGAATGGATTATAAATTGTTTAATGAATGTAAGCTTTTTGTGCATATGGACTACAGTTTACCCTTGAACAACACAGGTTTGAACCACTCAAATCCACTTATACATAGATTTTTTTTAGTATATATATTGGAAAAAAAATTTTGGAGATTTGTAACAATTTGAAAAAACTTGCAGATAACTGCATAGTCTAGAAATCTAGAAAAAAAAACATAAAAAGATATGTCATGATTGCATAATATATATATTTTTTTTCCTTGTAATTTTCTTTTCTCTAGCTCACTTTACTATAAGAATACAGCATATTATACATATAATATGCAACTGTGGGTTGACTGTTTATTGTATCAGTGAAACTTCCTCTCAACAGTAGACTATTGGTAGTTAAGTTTTAGGAGAGTCAAAAGCTAACCTGGATGGCCCTGGCCAGTTTGGCTCAAGGGTTAGAGCATCGGCCCGCAGACCAATGAGTTACAGGTTCAATTCCGGCCTAGGGCATGTATTTCGGTTGCAGTTCGTCCCCGGTCCTGGTCGGGTTCGTGTGGGAGGTAACCAGTCGATGTGTCCCTCTCACATCGATGTTTCTCTCTCTCCCATTCTATCTGAACATAAATAGAAAAATATCCTTGGGTGGGTTTTGTTTTGTTTTGTTTTTAAGTTAATCTGGATATTAGAGCGGGGGGCGGAGGGGTTGCCTTTAACCTGGAGTTGTTCAATGGTCAGCTGTGCTTCTCAGGTTCCTAAACCCCCAGTCTTATATTTTAATGTGTAACCATGTCCTAGATACTTAAATATATTGTTTGAAGATAACCTTTCTTCATAAAATCTGATATTGGAATGAAAGTGTAGTGAATGAAAATTGTCTTCTTCAAGTGACATAGAAGTTGGTGTTGCTTCAAATTCCCATAATTCTGAGGAGTAGGAAAGTATTACACTTTATTTCTGCTGGATTTTGACAATGAATACTTACATGCTGTCACTGCTCCACATTGCACCTGGTCTCCACGTAGGTCTACTCTGCTCTGCAGTCAGGGTTGCCACCCATTCTTGCCAAAAAGACCGTGCTTTCTTTAAAATATAAAACAAAAACTTTTACAATGAATATGCTTTTGTAATGCAAGGTAACCATATAAAGAAATCTCTCTCCCTCCCCTAGGCAAACGAGGCCTGATTGTAATTTGCTTTATGTAGTGAGCTTGGCACTGCTCTAGGCATCAGGAATAAAGGAGTTAATAATGACAGATCAGGTCCTACTTTTTTAACTTAGAATTTCTTCACATAAGGCCCAGTCCCAGGTTTAGATTGTCACACAGTTACTAAGATAATCCACTTCCTCCCATTGAGCATAACAGTAAAGTCCTTTAATAATCTTGTGCTCCTTTGTTCTCATTTTGCAGTGATGTATATCTCTCATCAAGAGACAGACAAATACTTGATTGGCATTTTGCAAATCTTGAGTTTGCTAATGCCACACCTCTTTCTACACTCTCCCTTAAACATTGGGATCAGGTAAAATTCCTTTATTTTTTGCACAATCTTGGAGAGGGCTCTTAAGAGAAACTGTTCATTTGTTTGTGTGTTTTTAAGCTTTATTAAGAAAGCTAATTCAGTCTGGCTGGTATGGCTCAGTGGTTGAGCATAGACCCATGCACCAAGAGGTCGCCGGTTCGATTCCCGGTCAGGGCACATGTCCGGGTTGTGGGCCCAACCCCCAGTGGGGGGCATGCAGGAGGCAGCCAGTCGATGTTCTTGCTCATCACTGTTTCTGTCTCTTTCTCCCTCTCACTTCCTCTCTCTCTAAAATCAATAAAGGAAAAGAAAATTTAAAAAAGAAAAATCTCATTTACATACAATAATGCAGTCTGTGAGCACTTTGTCCTTTCACTGATATATTGATGGACATGTGGGTTGTTTCCATTTTTGGCTATAATGATTGAAGCTGGGATGAACATTCATGCCTTTCTCTTGGATAAATATCTAGGAGTGAAATTGCTGAATCTTACAAGAAGTAGATTTTTATAAAACTTTATAAGAAACTTCTAATCTGTTTTCAAGATTGCATTCCCACTAGCAATGTGTGGAAAAGTTTCCGTTGCTCCACATTCTCACCAACACTTAGTCCTGCCAGTTTTTAAAACTTTGGCCATTCTTATATTTCATTGTGGTTTTAATTTGTATTTCCTTCATGACTGGTGATGTGAAGCATCCATTCATGTACTTATTGGCCATTTGTATGTCAATTCTTTGATGACAAGTCTAATTTAGATCTTTGCCCATTTAAAAATCTGATTGGGCCCTGGCCAGATTGGCTCAGCGGTTAGAGCATCAGCCTGTGGTCCAGAGAGACCCAGGTTTGGTTTCCTCTAAGGGCACGTACCTCGGTTGCAATTTGTCCCTGGTCCTAGTTGGGTCGTGCAGGTGGCAACCACTCGATGTGTCCCTTTCATGTCGATGTTTCTTTGTCAGATTTATGTTTTGCAAATATTTTCTGCCAGTCTACAGATTGCCTTTTTATTTTCTAAAAAGTTTCTTTCAAAGAGCAAAGGTTTTAAATTTTATGAAGTGTCCTGTTTTATTAACTTTGAAGCTGTGTTTTTTGTAAAATCCTGAACATTTTTTGTCTAAACCAAGGTTACAAAGATTTTCTCCAGTTTTCTTCAGATTTTATGGACTTTGCTCTTATGTTAGGTCTGTGATCCATTTTTGAGTTAATTATTGTGTATAGTGAGAGGTGAAGTTAGAGTTAATATTTTTCCATGTGGTTATGTAATTAATTATTCTAGCACCATCCTTTTTCTTTATGTGTCTTGGTACCTTTGTTGAAATCAGTTGGGTCTGTTTATGGTTACTTTTTTCTGTTTGTCTATCCAATTCCAGTATCACACTGTCTGATTATTGTTGCTCTGTAATATGTCTTGAAATCAGGTAATATAAGTTCTTCAATTTTGTTCTTTTTTTTTTTTATTATTGTTTTGGGTATTTTTGGTCTTCTGTATTTCCATAAAAATTTTAGAATCAGTTTATCAATTTCTATTAAAAAACAACTTCTGGGAGTTTGATTGGGATTGTGTTGAATGTATAGATCTGATTTAGAGTGATTGTCATCCTTAAAATACTTAAGAATAATGTGACAATATATGTCATGCTCAAGATGATTTACTCTTGAATTGGTGGAAGTCACAGGGCTTCTTGTGTTGAATGGACCAATCTCTCAATCTGAGACTTTGGCCCGATTTAAGACTGTATAGAAGTAAATATTATCTTTTTATTACATATTTTCATTATATGTTTTCCTAATAAGATTATATTGGCTTCTTAATCTTTAGATTAAGTGTTAATCTTTAGATTAGTGTTTTTTAGTATTTGAATTTCAGTGACGATTTAGACTTGTTAGTGGTAAATATCTTGCAGAATTCCTAGTTTCTTTGTAGTTTTTCATGTAAACACTAAATTAGATCCCTCCTAAGAACTGAGTCATCATTTGGAGTTTCAGTATGTATCCATTTGTAATGGTATTGAATTTTAAATGTGGGTGATTTGAATTAATCAGTACAGGGAGCAGATGAACCAGTCACTTAGTGAGAGTTTTGCTGCCAGCCCAGTATTTTTATGTAATTTCTAAGAATTGTGGTATGTTTTCCCCAGGAATTTTATGAAATTAGAAATACTGACTAGCCTTCAAAAGTTTCTCTATATAGAAATTTTTTTTCATAAATTCAAAGAAATAAGATCATTTGGGTAATTGTTCCAGGCCAAATCTTGACTTCATTACTATATGAATTATCTTGGGCCAATCTTTATAATCCTAGATTGGTTTCATTTATTCAACTGACTTTAGTTTTGGAACTCTTCCTCAACTTTAAAACTTGTAAGTTTAGCCCTGGCCAGTTTGGCTCAGCGGTTGGAGTGTTGGCCCGCGGACCAGAGTCACAGCTTCAATTCCCCATCAAGGGTACCTCGGTTGCAGGTTGGATCCCCGACCCTGGTCAGGGTCATGTGGGAGGCAGTCAGTCGATATCTCTCTCACATCGATGTTTCTGTCTCTCCCTCCTTCCCTCCCATTCTGTCTGAAAAATCAATGGGAAAATATCCTCAGGTGAGGATTAAAAAAAACAAAAAACTTGTAAGTTTAAGGAATAAAAACTGATTTTGTTTTTGGATAAAAGAGAATGTAATTAGGATGGTGAATCTGATAGTCTACCAAGTCTGTAATGCATTAAAAAACCAAACCAAAAAAAGATACCTAGCTTCCTCTCGCCAGGCGTCCTCGTGAGAGTGACATCGTCTTTAAACCCTGCGTGGCAATCCCTGACGCACCGCCGTGACGCCCAGGGAAGACAGGGCGACCTGGAAGTCCAACTACTTCCTTAAGATCATCCAACTTCTGGATGATTATCCAAAATGCTTCATTGTGGGAGCCGACAATGTGGGCTCCAAGCAGATGCAGCAGATCCGCATGTCCCTCCGCGGGAAGGCTGTGGTGCTGATGGGCAAGAACACCGTGATGCGCAAGGCCATCCGAGGACATCTGGAAAACAACCCAGCTCTGGAGAAACTGTTGCCTCATATCCGGGGGAATGTGGGCTTTGTGTTCACTAAGGAGGACCTCACTGAGATCAGGGACATGCTCCTGGCCAATAAGGTGCCAGCTGCTGCCCGTGCTGGTGCCAGTGCCCCATGTGAAGTCACTGTGCCAGCCCAGAACACTGGTCTGGGGCCAGAGAAGACCTCTTTCTTCCAGGCTTTAGGCATCACCACTAAAATCTCTAGGGGCACCATTGAAATCCTGAGTGACGTGCAGCTGATTAAGACTGGAGACAGCCCTGGCCAGTTTGGCTCAGCGGTTAGAGCGTCGGCCTTCGGTCCGGAGAGACCCGGGTTCGGTTCCCGCTAAGGGCATGTACTTCGGTTGCAGTTTGTCCCCGGCCCTGGTTGGTTGTGCGGGTGGCAGCCACTCGATGTGTCCCTTCACATCGATGTTTCTCTCTCTCTCTCCCTTCCTCTCTCTCCCTCCCATTCTATCTGTACAAAAAATGGAAAAATATCCTCGGGTGAGGATTAAAAAAAAAAAGACTGGACAAAGTGGGAGCCAGCGAAGCCACACTGCTGAACATGCTGAACGTCTCCCCCTTCTCCTTTGGGCTGATCATCCAGCAGGTGTTTGACATTGGCAGCATCTACAGCCCGGAAGTGCTTGACATCACAGAGGAAACTCTGCATGCCCGATTCCTGGAGGGTGTGTGCAATGTTGCCAGCGTGTCTGCAGATTGGTTACCCAGCTGTTGCATCAGTACCCCGTTCTATCATCAATGGGTACAAGCGGGTTCTGGCTTTGTCTGTGGAGACTGATTACACCTTCCCACTTGCTGAAAAGGTCAAGGCCTTCCTGGCTGATCCATCTGCTTTTGTGGCTGCTGCCCCCGTGGCCGCTGCCACCACTGCTGCTCCAGCTGCTGCCGCAGCCCCAGCCCCAGCCAAGGTTGAAGCAAAGGAGGAGTCGGAGGAGTCGGACGAGGATATGGGATTTGGTCTCTTTGACTAATCACCAAAAAGCAACCAGCTCTCAGCCAACTTTATTTGTGAAACAAGGAAATAAAGGCGTACTTCTCTTAAAAAAAAAAAAAAGATACCTAATTGTCTGAATTTATTGAATCAGCTTCCTTCCCTCTTGCACGCCCATGAATAATCTGGACTCGATGATAAAAACTCTATCTAGGGAAAAAAGAAACTGCCCAAAGATAGCCATTATGGACACTTGGGCATTTTTTATTTTTTTTTAATGTTTCTTTCTTTCTTGATTTTAGAGAGAAAGAGAGGAAGGGAGAGGGAAACAGAGATAGAAACATCGATGAGAGAGAACATCGTTCGGCCGCCTTCTGCATGCCCCCCGCTGGGGATCAGGCCCACAACCTGGGCATGTGCCCTGACCAGGTATTGAACCGATGACCTCTTGGTGCATGGGTCAATGCTCAACCACTGAGCCACACTGGCTGGTCGACATTTTTTTTCCCTTCAGTTTCCTGGGGCAGCTATAGCTGAATATGGAGTGATTGTTTATTTCTGTTTTAGCATATTATATTGACAGGTTCCATAAGCTGCTGTTTTTAGCCTTATTTTACAGAACTCAGTATAAATGGCATACATTAGATTTTAAAAGTGTGGCCTGGCCAGTATGGCTCAATGGTTGAGCATTGACCCATGCACCAAGAGGTTGCCAGTTCAATTCCTGACCAGGGCACATGCCCAGGTTGTGGGCCAAATTGTCAGTGGGGGGCATGCAGGAGGCGGCCAATCGATGTTCTCTCTGTGTTTCCATCTCTCTCCCTCTCCCTTCCTTGCTCTCTAAAATCAATTTAAAAAGTGTGAAAATATGTCCTTTTCTCTCCTCTTTAGGATGACGACTTTGAGTTTACTGGCAGCCACCTGACAGTGAGGAATGGCTACTCGTGTGTGCCTGTGGCGTTAGCAGAAGGCCTAGATATTAAATTGAATACAGCAGTTCGACAGGTTCGCTACACGGCTTCAGGTATGTTACTGCTTCACTGGGGAGATAAATCTCTTACTCTGAAACATGGTACTCATCTTTTGTTGAGTTTGTCCTATAGAAAAAGTATTAGGTTATTTCCTGATAGAGTGTCTTTTAAACTTTGACTCCTAAATTTAAAATTTTGCATTTTCAAAAGGATTGAGCCTGTAGAGCTTTTGGGGAGATTCTAACCCCATCGTTGTATAAACCAGAAAATTGATGCAAGTTTTAGTTTCCAAATTGTGCATATATTAATTGATATAAAAACAGCCAGTGAGCCCTGGCTGGTTTGGCTCAGTGGTTGGAGCGTCAGCCTGCGGACCAGAGAGGCCCGGGTTCGGTTGCTGTTAAGGGCACGTACCTCGGTTGCAGTTTGTCCCCGGTCCCAGTTAAGGTCATGTGGATGGCAACTAGTCGATGTGTCTCTCTCATGTCGATGTTTCTCTCTCTTTTCCTCCCTCTCTCCCTCCCACTCTGTCTGAAGATACATGCAAAAATGTCCTCAGGTGAGGATAAAAAAAAACAGCCAGTGAATTTGAGTTTAATTTTGTTAAGTATATATATATATTTTTTAAAGCTGTTTTCTTTTATTGATTTTTCCTTTATTGATTTTTAAAGAGAGAGGAAGTGAGAGAGAGAGAGAGAGAGAGAGAGAGAGAGAGAGAAACATTGATTTGAGAGAACATCGATTGGCCGCCTCCTGCATGCCCCCTACTGGGATTGGGCCCACAATCTGGGCATGTGCCCTGACCAGGAATCAAACTGGCGACCTCTTGGTGCAGGGGTGGATGATGCTCAACCACTGAGCCACACCAGCCGGCCCAGGCCGTATTCTTAAATAACCAGAACTTGGGTCCCTAGTCTCCAGTGGAACCCACCCTGTATTTTACCATCTTGCATCTCGGTCTTTGGATCCACTCTGGCTTTTCCTATTCAGGTGGGCTAATGGCTCAGGCTACTTTCTAATTCTGGGAGCAGTCTTGATAAGTTGACTTTAAACTGCCTTGGTTCCTGTGACAATAGGCTCAGTGCTCTTTATTGCTGGTTTCAGGCACATTTAAAATGGGATACAGAGAACTCTTGGTCCACCCACCTTTGGAATTAATAATCTTGAACTCCTTATGGTAACTAGTCACGCCCCTCTCGGAGGGCCCTCATGATGGACAAGCGGAGATGTGGCCATTAGTCTTGCCCTCCACGGCCCCTTCTAGAGTCTCCCAGATCACCACAGATACTCCTTTCAGAACCGCTAAAACTTTTTCATTTAAATTTTCCCTTCGGAGGCAGCTTCTAGCTGATGGTGTTGAGGAGATATATAACCTTGAAATAGCCACTTGCATGCAGGTGAAGAATAGTGAGAATACCTTTTCTGTCATTCTAGTTTTGTGACCACAGAAAATGGACATGGCCCTGGTCAGGTGGCTCAGTTGATTGGAGCACCATCCTGTACACCAAAAGGTTGCAGGTTCGACTCCTGGTCAGGGCACATAGCTAGATTCCGGGTTTGATCCCTGGTCAGGGCGCGTATGGGAGGCAACCAATTGATGTTTCTCACATCGATGTTTCTCCCTTCTCCTCTTATATATCTCCTCAAGTGAGGATTTAAAAAAAAAAAAGAAAATGGGGATATGTACTGAGAGCTCATACTTACTTAAATTATTTTTGAAGTTACATAAATAGACATTCACGGAAGAAAAAAGTCAAGCACATATGAGGATAAATAACATTAATCTGCGTTCAGGTGCCTTTTCCGTGGCTTGCTTTGGGCTCGCTCACGTCCTGGCAGGCTAAGCATCGCAGTGCGCTCTCAAGAATAGCGAGCCCCACGGTTCTGCGTTGCGTCCCGTAGGTCGGTACCACAGGCTCTTGGTGTCATTCTTCTCCTGGTCCTTACGAGCGAGCACCTATGCACAGTGGAGGAGGTGTTGGTTCTGTTGGGATATTTTACTTTGAATTTTTGGTCTAAATTTACTTAACTTCAGTAAATGATCAGGTCCTTTTATCAGTCCAGAACACTGTGTACCAGAAATGTGAGAGTACAGTGGTGAAGAGCAAGGACTCTGAAGTTGACTATTAGCATTTGAATCCTGACACTTAATACCTGTGCTGTTTCACTTTTGTCTGTTTCCTTCAGTAAAAATGGATAGAACTGACTTCATAGACTTGTGTGAAGAATTAATTGGGATAGCATATAGTCTACGGTGCACTAAATGTTCAGTACCCTTATCAATACCATCCTTTTCACCAGTAAAGTCTTTTCCCTCAAACTTCTTTAGGATGTGAAGTGATAGCTGTGAATACTCGCTCCACAAGCCAGACCTTTATTTATAAATGTGATGCAGTTCTCTGTACCCTCCCCTTGGGTGTGTTGAAGCAGCAGCCACCAGCTGTTCAGTTTGTGCCGCCTCTTCCTGAGTGGAAAACATCTGCAGTCCAACGGATGGGATTTGGCAACCTTAACAAGGTAACCTGCCCTTAGCACCGCTCTCATGCCCACCCTCCACTGGGACAGGAGAGGGGTTTGCAGTTTCGTACATCTTGCTGTGTTCTCAGCTCAGATATAGGTTGAATCCTGTCCATTCTTTCACTTCATTGCCTAATTATACATAAAGTATCCATGAGAACTTGGTCTTCTGGGGTCACTTCACAAACCCAAGCTTATTGAAAAGAAAGCTCTAAATGTCATCCTAAGTAATACAGTTATAGTCAGGATTTCTAGGCTTATGTTAAGAGTAGATTAGAAGAAATGTAAGGTCTGAGGAAGTACTTCCTACTGAGGCACAGCTGTGCTTAAGCCATGTTCTTGGAGCCCTGTCTCCAGCTCATTTGCTTATTTTTTATGATAGGTGGTGTTGTGTTTTGACCGGGTGTTCTGGGATCCAAGTGTCAATTTGTTCGGGCACGTCGGCAGCACAACTGCCAGCAGGGGTGAGCTCTTCCTCTTCTGGAACCTCTATAAAGGTAACTGCTTTCCAGTTTCGATATTTCTCATATCCTTATAGGAACAGAGAATTAGGAATATTCTGGTTTTTCTCAAAAAATATATATGTGTGTGTGTGTCTTTATTTTTCATTAACAAGCAATTCCTGAAATCCTTTATAAGTGCTGGGGATATGAAAAAAACAAACAAAAAACCCTTGCCTTTAAGGAGACCACAAGCAACTTGCGGGAGATGGAGTGAGGAGGTGGGCAGTCTCTGGGCCATAGTAGATGACAGGATGAAAGCCCAGGGCACTGCAAAAGAATAAATAAAAGGAGGAATCCACCCCGCCAGGAGGGATAAGCCCAGGGAGGCTTCCTGGAAGGGGAAATTTATATTCCTCATTCTCAGACTTGTATATTTGATTTGCCCCTGAATCTTTTATCACTTCCCTTAGAATGTATTTATGAAACTCCTACTTTTCTGTTGTACTTCCTTCTGTATTTGGATTGCTCTTAATCCTGTACGGAGCTTTTAAAAAAACTATATTTAGACCCTACCTCATTCCAGGAAAGAATGTAAGATATATACTGTGCAGCAGCATCAGGAGGTATGGCCTTGACAGTGCAGACACATCAGTTAAGTTTGACTCCCACCCAGTTCTTCCCATTGCCCCACTGCCTGATGCGGAGCAGCCTTCACGTGGCCAGGGCCGCTACCCCACAGGGGAGACGCTTTGTTCCCTTAACACTCGGCCTTCTGGCAGCAGCTGGGTGCTTTCCCTTCCTGCGTCCAGGCCGCCGGGCCTGCCAGTGCCACCTGCACTCTGCACTCCCGCAGCCGTTTGCTTCTCTTCTCTTCTACTGCCCACCTCCCGGTCCAAGCCACTCTCCCCTCTTCACTCGCCAGCACCACTAGCTGCCATCCCTGCTCCTGTTCCATCTTCCGAGGGCTTTCCATCCTCTGGACCATTACTGAGAAAGCCTGCATAATCTAGCCTTCTCTGCTTCAACTTCCTCAGTATTCCTTCCTCCCGCCATCCTCACTCCTCTCTGCTCCCTGGGCCCCAGGCACCCTCGCCGCCCTCCTGGCGTCCCGGATTGTACCATGCTGTGCCCCGCTTCGGTGCCTCTGCCCTGAAACGCTGTGCCCGGGGTGCTTTTCTTCTCTCTCTTTCTTCCCAACATGGCTTACTCGGGCCTTCACCTAGATGTCACTATTTCAAAGAGGACTTCTAAGATACATATACCTCCACTCTTTAAATCTAAATTCTCTATTTTCTCTGTATCCTGTATTGTTCTTCAGTAGCTTCTGTCATAGTTGAAGTTTACAGCTTCTGTACCCCCAGCATGTACTACTGTGCTTATCCCATGAAGCCTGCTGCATAGTCATCAAAGGGATGAGTGAAGGTGGTGATGGGCTTGGAGGGGCCCGCGTGGCTGAAAGGATAACTCTCGTGTAACTGTCTACAGTGGTCAGAGCTAAGCGTTCTTTGTCTCAACAAACAGATACTTGTTTTGTTTTGTTAACAAGGTCTGAAATTACATCTTCCAGATTTCTGTGTTCTGCAGAATTATAAGCAGTGAAGTGCATGAGTCAGTTTGCCAGCTCCCTCTTGGGATAGATTTCAAGTTGGTGTTTCAGAAACAACTCGTCTCTAGCATAAGTGATGCATGTCTATTAGTCACTACATGTCAGAGCACCAAGAATAATGTGGGACCTGCTGAGGAGGGTTTTGAGAAAAGTCTGTAGAAAATCCTGGAACTGTCGTTTGTTTCCCCAGCTCCAATACTACTGGCACTAGTGGCAGGAGAAGCTGCTGGCATCATGGAAAACATAAGTGATGATGTGATTGTAGGCCGATGCCTGGCCATTCTCAAAGGGATTTTTGGTAGCAGCGCAGTTCCCCAGGTAAGTGGGTAGGGCAAGCAGGGATCTGGGGTTTGTAAAGCAGGGTTTGACATATTCTCATAAGTTGTGGCACAGGTACTTGGTCAGGACAATTTCAACCAGAATTGAGAGGTTGTGTATGGATTTACATGAATGCTAATGTTTGGAGTTCATGCTGTAAGTGTGGGATTCAGAAAGCTATTTGCTGCATTTGTCTGCTTGTCTGTTGTCTCTGCTTTTGGAATCTTACCACCACCACCAGCACCACCCCACCACCCCACTTTCAGACAGAGTGGCCAAGCTCCTTCAGGGAAGTCTTTTCTTTTTTTTTTTTGTTTAATCCTCACCCGAGGATATTTTTCCATTTTTTGTACAGATAGAGTGGGAGGGAGAGAGAGGAAGGGAGAGAGAGAGAGAGAAACATCGACGTGAAGGGACACATCGAGTGGCCGTCACCCGCACGACCAACCAGGGCCGGGGACAAACTGCAACCGAAGTACGTGCCCTTAGCGGGAACCGAACCCGGGTCTCTCTGGACCGCAGGCCGACGCTCCAACCGCTGAGCCAAACTGGCCAGGGCTCCTTCAGGGAAGTCTTTAGAGAATCTCCTGATGCTTTTTTTGATTCTTTAGGCCCATTGAAACACCTGTAGACCCTTATGATTCCTTTGTGAGGAGGCATATTAATGCTTCGTGTGAATTTGTAAAAGAGAAATTAGGTTAAGTCCTAGGTAGATCTCTGGATTCACAGACAAGAATGCAACATGGAGGCTTCCTTGCAGTTTGAAGGCATGTTGTGCTATACATTTTAAAACATCAACAGTCATCACTTAGCTAACTCTCCTGCCTGTTGTCCTTTTAGTTCTCATATGTATCTCCACTCACCACAGCTTTTCCACCTTTCAGAAATTATTGGTTTGTCCTTGGTGTCCAGTAACAACTTCTGCCCATGGCTTTTTCTTTAGCCGAAGGAAACTGTGGTGTCTCGCTGGCGTGCTGATCCCTGGGCCCGGGGCTCCTATTCTTATGTAGCTGCAGGATCATCTGGAAATGACTATGATTTAATGGCTCAGCCCATCACTCCTGGCCCCTCCATTCCAGGTGCCCCACAGGTGAGAAACTAATAAACTGTACCTGGGGTTATTTGGGGAAGCCAGTATCCCAGGATCTCAGGATAAAAATGCCTCTGATTGTTACACATTTAGTCATTTTTGTCCTTGGACCCTTTCAGATAACCCAGAGCAGAGTAAAAGGGAGGAGCAGTATCATCTGTGTCAGATTTCTCACATTTTGGTTTTGTAAATCTAAGCAGTCTGTGTTCAGAATGTAAGAGTCCAGAGTATAAATCAATCACTTACTTTTTCTTTATTCAGATTTTTGTCACTTGTTTTTAATTGCACCCCATTTTGTAATGGCTCATAGGATTGTTGCAGGGTCCCAGTCACGAGGGGCCTCCAGGGGCAGCCCCTGAGAAATAACCTTGGGTCCTTACCTAGACAATGCCTGACCCTGCTCCAAAGAATAGTACGTGTTCTCAGGACCCTGTGCTAAGTAAGGCCTGCTCTGAGCTGAGTGAAAACAAATGCTGTATTCTCTATGGTTTGGAGTAGTCAGGACACCCCCCACCCCAGTAGGTACTACATGAGGCAAAGTCAGGTTTAGAACTGGGTATCCCCCTAAGAAGCTGATACCTAAGAACAGATGTAATTAAGCATCACTGCAGAACTAAGGCTGGGCTGGGTTTTATTGTCCCTTTTCTACTTCTGTCAGTTCTAAGAAAATGCCTGCTGACAAGGGAGGCCCTTTTTGGTAAAATGATGGATTAGGGTTTGGGGGGGGGGGGTCAGCTTCAAAAGCCAACAGGAATTTGGCAGTTCAGACACAAGAACAAAGATATATTTGCAACTTGCTGATTTCCTCTTCATATTTTTTTACTGAAATAGCCAATTCCACGACTCTTCTTTGCTGGAGAACACACGATCCGTAACTACCCTGCTACAGTCCATGGTGCTCTGCTGAGTGGGCTTCGAGAAGCAGGAAGGATTGCAGACCAGTTTTTGGGAGCCATGTATACCCTGCCTCGCCAGGCCACACCAGGGGTTCCTGCACAGCAGTCCCCAAGCATATGAGACAGATGTGTCCTAAGGGAAGAGGCCAACGTATATGTCTTTTGCTATGTAAGCAAAGCTCTTCTAGCAATACTAGATTCCTGAGAAACTTGCCCTGGCATCCGGGCTCCCAGTCAGCTGCTGAAGTTCTTGATGGCCAAGCAGTTGCCTCCTTTGAGCCACTTAGAGCCAGGGCAGGAGGCACTTGTCCATCAGGTGGAAGTGTGTGTTCTTCAAGATTGAGGCAAGCAAGCACTATGAAAACATCTTAGTCTCTTGGTGTGTGGTAATTTTTTTATATTTTGAGAATAAAACTTCATATAAAATTAGTCCTGTCTTTTTTGTGTTTCTCCTTAGGGTTAGAGTTGTATACAAGACCAGGAGTGTTACTCCTTTGGAGATGTTAATTTTATCTGTTTACACAAGGAGGATGTTTATATAAAAGAGAAAAATAGTTTGGTCAGGTCAGAAGATAGGGTTGAGGGGGGTCCTTTAGAAACAGTGGGCTTCCTGGTCTGTAGGGCTAGACTTCCCCACTGGGATTGTGGGGTGACCATGTGCCATAGGCTTTGAAGCTGCAGATCAAGCACATGGATAGTGGGAAACTGAATTCTCAAGATAAAACATAGGACAACACAAAGTTTGGGTAGGCCTCTGGTAGACCTTTCTGGCATTATTCTCCAGATTCCCTCCATGGGTGTGTGCTAACTCTCCATTTACATCCAAGGTACTGGTATAAAATTTTGGCAAATTCTGCATAAGGAGCAGATCAAGGGTTTAGGTAACTTCACTGGTGTTTTCCCTGTTGCTGCTGTAACATTACCAGCAGGTTCTGAGGGAAGATTGTTTCCTGTGTTTCTCAGCTTCTAGGGCAGTGGTTCTCAACCTTCCTAATGCCACGACCCTTTAATACAGTTCCTCATTTTGTGGTGACCCCCCCAACCATAAAATTATTCTCATTGCTACCTCATAACTGTAATTTTGCTACTGTCTTAGGCAACCCCTGTGAAAGGGTTGTTCGACCTCCAAAGGGGTCGCGACCCACAGGCTGAGAACTGCTGTTCTAGTGGTTGTCTGGAACCTTGGCTTGTGGCCCCTTCCTCCATTTTAAAAGCGCATCACTCCAGTCTCTGCTTCCATCTTCCCCTTCTTGCGTTCCTCCTCTAGCGCCCTTATTAGGGCACTTGTGATTTCACTTAAGGCCCACCCAGGTCATCTGAAAATCCTTACTCACATCCACAAAGTCCCTTTTGCCATGCAAAGTAAAAACTTACAGTGAACAGGATACCTGTTCCTTCCCCAAGGGCTCATAACAGACTAGGTGCATGTGTGTAATCTGCTTCCAGAAGTTGGATTTTACGTGTATTAGTCAATTCTTCCCTAAATGAGGTTTTATTCTTAGTAAGATTTAAGGAACATTACACTGGTGGTCTGACTGGAGAGACTTTTCCTCTAGTTTTGGAAAGAGACAGCAATGAGGAAATTTTACACACCAGGATCAGGGCAGAGGTGTAACTGAAGTAAAGGTGAGAAGAGCATGTAGTGGAAAGTATATGGACTTTGGAGCCCAGCTCTGCCATTAATATTGTTAACCTTGGGGCAGGGAAGGGGTTGGTTAAAGTGTCTGTTCCAGTAGTAAGTGCTTTTAAAAGTTTGTTTTTTAAATAGATGGCATAGGTAGCTGGAGAGACTACTGTTATGTGACAACAGATAAGTCTTTTAAAAATGTAGCACTAAAATAGGTGCTAAGGTCATACCACCCTGAACAGGCCTGATCTCATCTTAAGTAGGTGCTATATGATTCTAACTCCAATTCACTTTTGGCTTCTAGGCATGTCTTTTACTAAGCCTCAGCTATGTTTCCAGTCTCCTTACAGCACCAGTAATTGGCTGAGGATTTTAAATAAAATACAATGAAATATGCTAGCTGCACCAATGCATAGAAAATAGTTGTATGCAGAAATGACATCAACAAAAAAGGCATCACTGACTCACACAGAGCACGTGGAAACTAGGGAGCTTTATTGGTTACATATTGTGCTGCAGAGCCAACAGACAGCATTAGAGCCAAAGGATACATGCAGACAGGCAGCTTCAACTATACACATGCACCCAAGGAGCCCTGAGTCACTGCTCATGGCTTTGCCCTGGTTTCCAGCAACAGGGTTCCAGTCTCCTTGGTCCCATGCTTGGAGCAGGAATGTAGAAGCTGCTGCACCTAGACTCCAAAGGGCAGGGGTGAGACCGAGCACCTGCCTGAGCAAGTTAAGTGTGGACCAACAGATACTGACACCCCTTAGCAAAGGGCCCTGTAATGTAATAACAGTTTTTGAGGGCTACTTCCCTAGCCCTCCCAATCTTTAAAATACAAAAAAATAGACTTTATTCTCTTAAAAATACATTCCATTCAGTACATGTTCTGAGCTGTGAAGCAGCAGGAAAATAGGGCCCCTTTCCTATGATCTTGGTTGTGAGGCTTTGAGGAGAACCCTGTTCCCCACTCGGGGTATTCAAAAGGTAATCCCCAAAAGCAGCTCTTCCAAAGCAGTCTTGAACAAAAACAAGAGGCTGTTCCCCGTTCCCTTTATTGGGAAGTCGTAGCACTTGGCACTAACCCACTAAATATGAAGAACTAAAACTGCCCCAGAATGACAAGTCCAAGATCAATATAGACCCTCTCACACCCCATGAGAGAGGGATGATTTATGTGCAAGCTTGCCTGTGGCCAAGGTTGGAATCCTTGGCCCCACTGCAAATCCCTTTAACCCACATTGTAACTTTCACTGCCACTCAAAAGCAAAAACAGCCATGCCCGGGTCCCTGCAGCTTTCTCCAGTTTTTAGTATCAGAATGGCAAGAGACAGGTGACAGCAGGTGGAAGAGACCAGCTTCTGGCATTTAGCCAGGTGTACTTCCTCCAACAAAGCAGCTCTGGAGTGCCAGGTTCCCCAGCCTCACTAGGAACCCTCCCAAAACCATACACCTGTGCCAGTAAAACTTAAGAGTTCAAGCCAAGTTGTAGAAAAGGCTTGTCATAAAAGTGGGTTTATTGGCTGGGACAGGAAATAATTTGGCTTGATTAGACAACTACTCAACTACCAGGTCTCCCCTTTATTTGGAGGTTTTCTTCCAGGACCCCTAATGGTGAGGCCTGGGTCTCACCTAGGTTGCTTTTCAGAAACGTGCCTTCCATCTTTGGAGTTGGAGAGCCAGCCTTGCCAGCTATGTGAAGCCCAAGGTAACTAAGCCTCCAGCCTTCACAGGCTTTTACAAATGGTATTTTCTGCAATGCTAAGGACATTAAAAAAAAAATACCTAGTTTACAGCGGTTCTAAAAAGTGTGCAGATGAAAAAATATTTATCCTGAAATAATTGTTACAATCAAACCCTATTGCACTCAGATTTTAAGACAGCCACCCCAGCAAGAGGGCCTCACAGCTGCCCCTCTTCCACAGAGCATTTTGGGGAGCGGCAGATGTTGATGCTGCTGAAATGTGGAAAGATCCAGACTTTGGCACCAGGAGCTACAGCACCAGAATCCAGGGCTCCAGTGCCCAAAGAGGAGAATTATCGGTGAGACCTTGAAAGGCATGGGTTGGCACCCTTCTATTCCCACCAGCAGAGAAGAACCACCGACTTTCCTGTATTCTCCGTTGATCACCAGAGGCAGCTTCCTTTGGACTGTCAGAGCTGACAACCGGTGAAGAATGGCAAGGAGGCTATAAGTGAGAGGTGGTCACCTTAAGCAAGCCAGTTTCTGGCCAGTGACCCAGGAGCAGCAGTAGGAAGAGGTTTTTGAAAAACAGCATCTGAAGTTGAGCATCTGAGGCAGCAGTGTGAAGGGAAGGCAAGCCTCATGACAACGCCCTTAGATTGGCAAAACTCCAGGAAATGGAAATAGGAGCAAAACATTCCTGCCCCTGAAAGTATGGTAGGTGCTCCCAGGCCTCCAGGACTGCCAAGTCTGTTGCAGACCGGGGGAATGAACACTGGTTCTCACACTGAGTGGAGGCAGAGGAGATGACTCAAGCAGCACAGGAGACACACCAACCTGTGTTATGGAAAGTGCTAGCTAGCCAGGAGATACTGTGTGGCATTTGGCAAGGCATGGGTGCCAAAAAGGGCTGCAGAGACCACCTAATCTAACCCCTTCATCTTACAGACTGGAAAATGAGGCCTAGGGAGCTTCTCTGAGCTCAACCCCATGGCATTAAAAGGTCCCAGGAAAGCAATCAAAGGCAGTGGGAAGGACACGTTCTCCAAACCCATTTGGATGACACCTTCCAAAAGCGAGAATCACCCCCCACACCCCAACCAATGGGATGATGGAAACGGAAGAATCTTAGTGTCAGATTTAGACCCTTAGAAACCATTCATTTCAAATAACTCATTTTATAGATAGGGAAACTGAGGCAACGTACAAAACCATGAAGAAAATTCAGCTTTCCTGATTCCTGCTCTCTTTCACTATGAAGGAAGTGTCTGCTTCATAAAGTAGCCTTTGAAAGGGGATCCCTTCTTTGAACTAAGAATGCTACAGAAAAAAGTGTCAAGATTATATGGTTCTTTTTAACTTCCCCATGTGATTATTTATGTGGCTTCCTGAAAAGTTTGCTGCATTATGAACTGTATAAATCTGGGGCCCTTGATGGGCATGTGTTACCTTCCCTCCCATGAAGTCATGATGATAGCTGTTTGCAGAAATCATGGGCCCACCTCTAGGAATGCATCAGCTTGGTAAAGTGCGATACCTCCAACATGGGAGATAGAGGAAGAGGAACAAAGTCCATACCTTTCATGGAGCTATTGCTTTGTGGAGTGACTAAAGGGAAAGCGCTTCTTCCTGTCCACTTTCCCCTTTGCCGGGCGCTTCCTAGAAGGCAGAGTATGCTGGGTCAAGCCCAGTTTAGTCTGGGAATTGTCTAAAAGTGGAAACAAAGTCAGCATGAATTCTCCAGCCATAGGAGAGGAGCAGGCAATGCCAGCAGCATTATTGTGCCCAGGGAAGGAGATGCATGAAGTTTCTGCACTTCCAGGCGCCTCTGTACGGTGAGCTGAGAGCTGGGGTTGTGGGAGGGATGATGTCAATCCAGTAGGTGGGTGGGCACCCATGTGCTCTGCCCCCGAAACAGTGGTCAGCAAGGGGGCCAGGTCACAGTCCCATAATCCCTTAGAGGCAGCACAGACATCTTCAGTAAAGTCTGAGGAACCCCAAAGGGGAAAGGAATGGAAGCCCCCTAAATGGAGCTGATGGCTGGTAAGTCTTAGTGTCAGTGCTTCCTAGGGCAGACAGTGAACTGAATGTGGTGAAGAGACTAAGAAATCTGAACATTAACCACACAGAAAGGCTGCTGTTGTATGGTGGAGATATAAGGAGTTTCTATATCATTCCCTATTTGGGGGCCAGAGTGGCCCACCCTACCTGGGGGACAGAGCAGGGACAAGGAGAGAGGACTCATGCATCAATCGGGGAAGGCTGGGCCTGGGTGACTCTGTCCAGCTTGTAGTTTCTGATCTCCTCTGGCCAACTGGCAAAAATGACCTGAGCCACAGTCTGGCTCTCTGCCACTATCTCCAACCAAGGCCTGGTGTGTAGCCCGGTTAACTGGCCTGGGATCCTTCATAGATGAGAAGGTGGAAGAGCTGAGAAGCAGGAGCAGAGGAGACAGCTGACCTCACCCAGCTGGCTCAGTTTTCTTCAGCACAGGGCCTGGCTGGTCGTAACCGTTCCTCGGCCTTAACTCGCCCCGGCTCTGACAGCCCCTGCTTCACGGGCAGTTCAGACTGTTCAGACTGTTCCAGGGAGTTGTGAGGTCGCCTGTAGACACTGAGTGTGCAGTCATCACCTTCCTCCTGTGCCAATAAATGACAAAAGTGAGCTGTGAAGGACCATGTAGTGAATAACAAAGATACTGTCACTTCCTACCCAATGGTCCTCTCCAGCCTGGCAGAGGGAAATATAGCACAGACAGACCATAGCATAACTGCAAAGATAAGCTACGGCCTGAAGACAGGCCAATATAAAAGTTCCATGGAAATCAGGGTAAACTACAAACTCCAATCTGCTAGGAGCTCCTAGGGTAGACTGGGGGGGGGGGGGGGGCACAACTGAACAGGAGCCCTACAGAGTACAAGGCCAGGAAGGGGGCCTGGGAGCGGTACCCCTACGTAGTAGCCAGCATTCCTCTAGTTCTGCACATGCAGGCTGCATGCTTCTCAGGGCGGTCACTCCCTTGGTGGGTAAGTGCTGCAACAAGCTGGACAGCTCCTTCCTACTTCCCACCAACAACCTCAGGTGCTTTCCCTGTGATATGCCATGTCCTCTCTCTCTCATCACACATCCCTCATCATATCTCAGACAGACAAAGCTTCAGAGGGCTAAATACCCATCTTTCTCCACTGCTCTTCTACCAGACGTCTGCCTTTTTTATGGTTTGCTTTGGTGCTCTGAAGCAAATAAATGCAGATCAAAAAATACAAGTATGAGTGAGAAAGGTTGGCAGGGTACAAAGAAGAATGGATTTAGAGACAGATATCCTGGATTCAAATTTTAGTTCTTCCAGTAATTCACTTGGATGGCCTTGGTGTAAGGCACTGTCCGTCTCTGACCTTCAGTTTCTACATCTCAAAAAAGGGGGATACTGCCCATAGCTGTGGAGAGACTGAATGAAGTAAGTGGGTGGGGAAGTGCCTTGTCAAGTGTTAAGTGCCCTGTAAAGACTTTCAGGGGCTTTTCACGTTAACAGTCACCTGCCTTTAAAAGAAGAGAACAGTGTCAACAGTCCGAGTGCCATCAACACGGGCTCCACATCTGAAAGATACTCACAGGGGCTTCCCCTTTTAATGCTGTTCTGACAGTCTGACCCTCAAATGAGGAGCTTCTGGATTTATCCTGTAATGACCTACATGAACCTGCAGCCCTGCCCACAACTGATATAATGGGTTTGACAGGTGTCTGGGGCAAAAAGATGCTTGGGCATAAAGCCTATAAAGTAGGCCCAGTGTAAGCACGAGCTCTCCTCATCCTCTGTATGCCAGCAGCTGGCAAACATCCACTGTCTGAACTGAGACGGCCTAGAACTCGTTTCCCGGGCTCCCATCTCAGCTCTACAGAAAGGGTGCCGGGCTTCCTCCTCTCACTCAGAGCTTCCCAGCAGCTTCAGCTGCTGCTTGTGATTCTAGGTGCTGCTCTATGGAGCCAGAAGGGGAGCTCCTTTGGCTACACTGCAACCAAGAGAACAGAGGCCCTATCTCCTCTTTTGAGGCCTTCGTACATGAAGACAAATGGAAGAGAAAGGGAGGGAAGGATTTTGGGAATTCATGCTTCTCTGTCCACTACCTTCCCCAAGGTCCTTTATTCTTTAAGGGCAAACCTACCGTTATCTTCAACAGTTCTCTGAGCTATCCACTGTTTCCCAGCCCCACAGTTCCCTTAATCCTGAGTCACACAGGCCAGGTAAGAGAGGCAAAGGAGAAAGGGAAAGTGGGAGGAGGGAAAGGACAGCAGCAGCGGAGAGAGAGGGAAGGAAGTGGGACTTACCATGCCTGCCAAGTAGTTCCAGGTGGTAGCTGTGACAGCATCTCCTACCCGATTCCGCCGAGTGAGCATCTCTGACACAGTGAGGCTACTTTGGGTCCTTCTAGAAGAGAGCTCAGGAGCATCCCCTGGGTTTCCTACCCTTCGAGTACCCTGCTCAAAAAGGTACGACCTGGGCTGTTCAAGGTCTGAATAGTCTGTGGAGGACCTCTGGGTGTAGGCATTGGTAGATACCACGCTTTTACCTATTTGAGTTGGGAGGTCTTCTAAAGAGTTCAAATCTCGCCTGCTCTTCCAGGCATTCCGCACAGTGACATGTCTGGCATCTGAAGGGCTCGCCTCTGAAGGGGCACTATGGTTTTTCCACCTGATTGTCTCTGCAGGGGGTACGTGATTATTCCTCTCCACCAGGTCCGATGGCTTGATTATAATGCTGCTCCGAGAGACCACTGTTTCAGGCCTGTTCTTCAGGGGCCCATCTCCCATTCTTTCAGCTTCTGTGAACTGCAAGGTGATGTCATGTTTGTGAATGGAGAGCTCAAAGGGAGAACTGACATGGTTGCTAACTGATGTGAGCTCTGATGACCCAACCTGGATGTTGCTGGTAGATGTGTGCCTCTCCCGCAGGACCTCACCTGGAGCGGCTCTAGGGCTGCTGCTGCTGCTATTGCTGCTGCTGTCAGAGGGGTAGATAGTAATGCTGCTTGTCACTTTGTTTGGCCCTGGTTTGGAGGTGGATTTCTGTTTCTCCAATATGGCCTCAGTTCCAGACCCTCCCATGATTTTTTTCACATCTTTATCAATGATGACAGGTTTGATGACAGCTCTAGACCGCAGGGCCTCTCTGGGGCTGAAGGGCCTTTGACTTTTAACCCCAGCACCATTGGCCTCTGGGAACTCCACGGCATTGGTGGAGGCTCTGACAGTTTTCACAGATTCATTTTCTGTCCCAGCATCTTTATCATTCTCGAACAGGGCAGTTCTAAGGCCCCCTCGGGATTTGGCTTTTTCTCTAGAGTTGGGCTGTTGTTTGAGCTCTGGCTCCGGGGTGATGGTTGTGTTTACCAATTTGGCAGTAACAAGAGATGTCATGTCCATATCGTCATCTGAGTCTGGCTTCTCTCTGCCACTAGATTTGATGACTCGACACCTCAGGGCCTCATGCTGACTGCTGTCTTCCATCACAATTGCTACAGATTGATCAACTCCTTCTTTATTTGGGGTTGAAAAATTCTGAAGGATGTTCTCTTGGCTTCTGGAACTATAAGGATACTTTGACAAAAGTGGAGCCTTAGAATTAGGGAAACTGGTATCAGCCTCTGGGCCGTTGGCAGCCTTTTTGCCCTTAGAGAGCCCTTCTGAGGAAGATCTTCGCGATGAGGCTAGAGCACCAATGGCCTTAGAACTGCCAGAGTCTGCAGCCTGAGCTGCCTGACTTCCATTGCTAGGCACCTGCCCCCGCTTGCCAAAGAGGGCCTCCGTGCAGGTGTCAGAAGACTTGTCAGCTCTACCCAGTATGTCACTGGGAACGGATCCATGGGTGGTATCACTAAATGTTCGTGTTGTCTTCTCTACTTTTCCCTTCAACCCACTCTCAGTACCTAGCTTGGGAGTACCCTTCCACACTTTATTGTGCTCCTGAGCAGCTGGGGGGTAGCGGCTAAGCACTGATGGCTGCTCCCTGGACTTCTTCCCTTCACTTTGAGAGGAGCCAGATGCAAATCGATCTTCAGTCCTCTTTGTCTCCTGAGTCCCACTATCTGTCCCTGCCCCTATGTTGGAAGCTTTGGCTGCCCTCCTGCTGGTGAAACCAGGAGAGGAAACCTGCCTGGTGCTCAGAGAATAGTTTTCATTGTTAAGAGCAAACTCCCTGTTTCGGTGCCTTTCCCGCTTATGCTGAGGGGACAGTTCCCGAGATGTGTGCTTGGACACAGACACCTCATTCCCATGACCTCTAAACTTAGTCCTCTCATGCCTGCCTTTGCTGGACAGGAAAGCATCTTCCCCTTCCACCTCCCCATTCTCTAACTCTTTCTGTTTCTTGATTTGTAGCTTTATCTCCTCCAGCTGGCTGGCTAAGAGTTTGTTTTTATTTTGTTCACTTAGGTAATTATCCTGAAGGTCATTATTTTTGGCCCTCATTTTCTTAACCTCTTCTTCCAAAGATTCAAAATGCTTGATTTGTGTCTTAAGTTTCTCAATCTCTTGGTTAAGGTCTTTGACTTTATTGTCTTCCTGATTTCGGTTCTTTTCATTTTCGGATTTATTTCTTGTTTCATTCTCTACCTGCTTTAGATAGTCCAGCGTGCCCTTCCTTCTTGATTCTTTGGATGGCACTGTGGAAGAGATACCATCCTCAATCCGTAGGTCATGCCTTTCCAGAAGGTTAGAAGCATTCCTTGTATAATCTCGGTTCATTTTTTTGTTCTGCTCCAGTTTTTGAGTGAGCTCTTTTATAAGTTTCTCATTTTCTTTCTCCTTTTCATTCAAGTATTTTCTCTCACTTACAAAGCTCAGAGTTAATGATTTCAGCTTTTCCAACTCTGACACTAAACTCTGCTCAGTTTTATCTAGGCGGTCCTCAGAAGATTCGAGTTCTTTCACTTTGACCCTGAGCATTTCCAGCTCAGAGGAGATTTTCTTCGTCAGGTTTCTCTCCTCATTCAGGCTCAGACAGAGTTGGGTACAGTCATTCTTACTCCTGCTAAAGGCCTCTTCTAGCTTCTCCAGTTCGGCCATTCGTTTCTGAAGCCGCTCAATCTCAGATTTCAGCTCCCGGGTGAGGTTTTCCTCCTCTTCAAGTTTCTCCTTCATCAGCTGACACAGGTCCTCTGCTCTCTTAATTTCCTCATCTTTGCCTTCAATTCTCAGCACTCGCTGGCGCAGCACTTCAATCTCTGCCAGCATGCTGGAGTTGCTGCCTTCTGCCTGAATCACCTTGTCCTGGAGATCCAGCAGCTCATCCTCTGCCTTCTGGAGGTTTTTTGTGGCTTCTTCCAACTCATCAAGGCGGCGGCTTAGACTCTGTAACTTAAACCGCAGGTGGCGGCTGGAGGCAGCATCCTTGTAGTTTGTAAACTCAGCCATGTCTACTGTCAGCCAGTGTGAACTCCAAGAGGCATCCAATTCCACTCCGGGGGATGAGAAATGGTTACCTTTTTCTTGGCATCCACAACCTTCTTTGGCAGCTGGAGACCATTTTCACTCTATAGAAGGAAAGCAGAAAGCATGTCAGGCAGCAAATATAAAATCTGCAAGTCATCTCCCAGCTTCCATATGTGATTCTTGTGCCTAAAACATAGCGGTTACTCTTAATCTGAATAAACCTGCAGGATAAGACTGGTTCCTCATGGCTGATAATGAGCTGGTATCTAGTTTTAGCCTAATGAAGAATGCAATGAGTGACAGCATGGCAAAAAGACACAGAAGAATGGCTTATTTCGCCCTGGTTGGTTTGGCTCAACGGTTAGAGCATCGGCCTGCGGTCCAGAGAGACCCGGGTTCAGTTTCCGCTAAAGGCATGTGCCTTGGTTGCAGTTTGTCCCCGGCCCTGGCTGGGTTGTGCAGGTGGCAGCCACTTGATGTTTCTCTCTCTCTCCCCCCCTCCCGCTCTATCTGAACAAAAATTGGAAAAAATGTCCTCTGGTGAGGATTAAAAAAAAAAGAATGGCTCATTTCTCATGGCAGGCTATGAGAAAACCTTTACCATTTGTTATCTGCATAATCTCAGGATAGTCATTAACTTTCCTATAAATCATTAGGTAAACAGCCTCAGTTTCACTTAGTTATAAAATAGGGATAATGATGCCTATCACCTCTCTCCCCAGTACTGTTCTGAAATAATGCATGGAAAGCTCTTCATAGAAAAGCAGTAAACAATCCTAAGAATATTAAGAACTACAGCTTCAGGGAAAGAAGTAGACTAGTTTTGTCTTTGTTTTTTTTAAATCACTTTATTGACATAGAAAGATAACAGGACCTGGGCTTTATCAAGGCAGAAAGGGAGGACAGTATGCCTACAGTAGGGTTGGGGAACATCTGGCCCATGAATACCAGCTAACATCACACGCCTCACCAAATTAGCCTGACCAAATATAACAGGCTAATTTTTAAGTTGATAATTTTGTATGGCCCATGAATTATGTTATAAATATCCAAATGGCCCTTGGTAGAAAAAAGGTTCCCCAGCACTGGCCTAGAGAATGTATACTCTTGGGCCTGCCTTCACTTGAGTTCACAGTTCAAATTTACACTGCTTGAGTGGTCTAGGATGACTTGCTCTCACTGAGAATCAACCAAAAAATTGTCTCAGCCTGGTAATATTCCTGGGAAATCTACCAGATATAAACAAAAACAGTCTGGAAAGAGATTTTACCAAATTCACACAAGAGCCCCACAGATAAGTCTTGCTGAACCTGAGTTTGCAATTCTAAATTACAAAACAACTAAGGCCCACTCTTGTACAATGACTGAACAAAGGAGATTTACAATGAGAACCAAAGTATGACAGGCCACAGACCATAAATTAAGTACATTCTAATATTTAAAGTCAAAAGAAGGAATCAAAAAAGGGAGACAATAACAAGATGCTATCAACAAAAATCAGAAGATTTTAAAATTAACCAAATAAAATTGCCAAAAATGTAAAGAAAAAATCGCAAATAGATGCAAATAAAGAATGTAGTGGTTAAGAAGAAATAAGAGGAAATTACAAAAGGCAGCACAGAAAGATTGAAAAAGTGAATGAGAGGTTAATAGAAAAGGAGAAAATACAAACGAGGTCCCAAAATGAAGAAATTTAACAAGTAGTACAAAATGAAAAACAAGACAGAATGGGGGAAGAGGAATATTTAAAAAGCAACTAGCTAAGAATGTTCAAGAGCTGATAAAAGATATGGAATGAAGCCTCATATTCAGGGAGCAAAATTCCATCCAAAATAAAATCTGTGTCTAGATGAGAACAAAAGGAAAATGAAAACCTAAATGTTTAAATACAGACCCTCAGTGAAAGAACTATTTTTTTAATGTACTTCCGAGTACAGAAACTGATCACTTAAGGAAGGCACGAGATAGAGGAAGGAATAATAAGCAAATAAATTTGACCCAAACAAGCACTGAATCAGTTAATAACAAAAATTAATTGCACCCTGGCCAGTTTGGCTCAGCGGTTGGAGTGTCGGCCTGCGAACCAGAGAGTTCCGGGTTCGGTTTCCACTAGGGGCACGTACAAAAATAAATAAATAAATAAAAATAAGACACGTTTTTTAAAAAAAATATTAATTGGGCAGGAGGGGCAGGATAAAATCAAAGTGGAACTAAAGCACTGGACAATAATAACATGTAAGTCAGAGAGAAATCAGAATTCAAGTAAAACACTGTATTCTTTGGGAAGAGAGGCCACAGTTATTGTAACTAACTTCAGACCTTATTAAGAATAGATATCGCCTGGCTGGTATAGCTCAGTGGTTGAGCATCAACCCATGCACTAAGAGGTCACGCGTTCGATTCCCAGCCAGGTCACATGTCCACATTGTGGGCCAAATCCCCAGTGGGAGGCATGCAGGAGGTGGCCAATCGATGTTCTCAATGATGTTTCTATCTCTCTCTCCCTCTTTCTTCCTCTCTCTCTAGAATCAATAAAGAAACAAATTTTAAAAAGAATAGGTATTATATACTAAAGAAGGCATTAATAAAGAACTCATATAATGTTAATTAACAACAAAAAACAAATAACCTTTTTTGGGGGGTAATCCTCACTCTCACCTGAGGATATTTTTTCCATTGATTTTTTAGAAAGTGAAAGAAAGTTGAGGAGTAGAAAGACGCATACAGACATTGATTGGTTGCCTCCCACATGCGCCCCAACCAGAACCAGGGATCAAACCTGCAACCCAGGTACATGTCCTTGACCGGAAATTGAACCCTCAACCCTTCGGTGCATGAGCCAACGCTCTAACTACTGCAGCAAGGTCAATAACCTCATTTTTAAATGGGCAAAGACTTAACAGAAATTTCTCCAAAGATGATATCCAAATGGCAACAACCTTATGAAAAGATATTCAACATCACTAATCATTCAGGAAATGCAAATCGAAACCACAAATCACACCACCAGGATGACTATCAAAAAACAAGTGTTGGTGAGAATGTGGAGAAATTGGAACCCTTGGATATTGTTGGTGGGAAAATAAACTATGGAAAACTGACAGTTTCTCAAAAAATTAAAAATAGAATTACCATATGATCCAGCAATTCCACTCTGGGTATATATCCAAAAAAAATTGAAGCAGGATCTCAAAGAGATCTGCACTCCTGTTCATAGCATTATTCACAACAGTCAAAGGTGGAAGCATCCAAGTGTCCATAAAGGGATAAGTGGATACACTTTGACACATGCTACAAAGTAGATGAATCCTGAGCACACTGGCTAAGTGAAATGTCCCAGTCACAAAAGACAAAGACTATGATTTCACTTACATGTGGTATCTAGAATAGTTAAATTCATAGAAAGTAGAATGGTGGTTGCTGGGGGAAAAGGAAATGGGGGGTTTGTTATTTAACGGACATAGAGTTTCAGTTCTGCAAGATAACAAATTGGTTGCACAACGTGAATATATACTTAACACTACTGAACTATACACTTACAATGGTTAAATGATACATTTTATGTTATTAATTTTTTTTTACCACAATAAACAAAAAAAATTTAAGGCAAGAAAAAAGTTAAAAGCATAGAGGTAGGGCCGATTTCCAGTTTCTGGTCCAGCATGTAAGCAGCTTATAAGTCATCACTTTGTCCAAACAAGTAAAAAGCTGAACAAACTGAAAATCAACAACTTCCTAGATCCACATGAGAACTGAGGTCACAGAGAAAACTGCTTCCCCAAAAAAATTAGACTGGATTCAGAAAAATCACAATTGTTCACAGCAGAAACCTCCAGGGGAACTAGTACCAAGGTAGGAAAACCTAAACTGCAACTGACAAAATGCTGGAGCTCAGTGTGGTCAACTCAGAGTTTAAAAAACTCAGTAGGCCGTCTCAGTATTAGCAGGGATGTACCACAGAGAGTTTTTACTTCCATGAGCTGTACCAGGTTCTCACACTAAAGGTGAAAGAAAACCCCCTATGCTTCCAGGAGGGGGGGGAGCCTAACTTATTGGTGTTTTATCAGAGCCTAAATGAACCCTCCAGCTTTCTGTGTGGAGGGAGGGAAATAACCACCTCTAGCCCACTCTAGCTATCCTGTACCACCTAAGGGGTGGGGTTTGGGTATACTAGGATGTCCACAGAACACTAAGAAGCACTTGTGCAGTGCACAGCCCGACAGCACAGATTCACTAAAACACTGAGACCTAATCATAGGACAGTGGAACACTTCTCTCCCTCTACACCTTACCACCACGTCACTAAAACCTGTTTACCTCAGTTCTTTTACCCAGGACATCATGTCTGACTTTAAACAAAAAATTACAAGGCACACACACTAAAAGACAAAAACCACAGTTTGAAGAAACAGAGTAAGCATCAGAACCAGACTCAGACATGGCAGAGATGTTGGAATTATCAAGACAGAAATTTCAAACAACTATGAATAATATGCTAAGTGTTCCAGACAACATGTAAGAACACGGTAATGTAAGCAATGAAATGGAACTTCTAGGAAAGAATAAAAAGGAAATGTTAGAGATCAAAAATACTGTAACAGCCCTGGCCAGTTAAGCTCAGTGGTTAGGGCATCCGCCTGCAGACCACAGTCGTGGGTTTGATTCCCGGTCAAAGGCACCTATCTGGGTTGCAGGTTTGATCCCTGGCCCTGGTCAGGGTTGTACGGGAAGCAACCAATCAATGTGTCACCTCAATGTCTGTCTGTCTCCCCCCGCCCCACCTCCCTTCCACTCTCTCTAAAAAGCAGTGCAAAAATATGCTCAAGTGAGGATTAACAGAACAAAAAGTGAAGGAGAAATACTTTCTCTGAAAATAAAAACTGAGGGGATCTGTTGCCAGTAGGCCTGCCTTGAAAGAAAATGCTTCCATGAGAAGGAAAATGATATAGGTCAAAAATTCAGGCCACATAAAGAAAGGAAAAGCACTAGACAAGGAATGGTTGAAAGTAAAATAAAATAAAAAATTTTTCCCAATCCTCATCAGAGGACATTTTTCTTTTTTTAAATTTATTTTCCTTTACTGATTTTAGAGAGAAAGTGA